CGTTTAGTGAAAAAGGACCCCCCCCCCCCCCACACACACCACACATCAGTCACCGTTAATAGTTTTTTTCCCCCGTATCACAAATAATTTGTCGAAAGCCCTCCGTAGAACCAAGTAGCTTTCTATTTTCTTAAGTTTGACAGTAATGAAGTTCGGAATAAGCGTGTTATTTTATTTTTTTCTAGCCGATTTAAGGTCGGCGCCCGGGGCACCCCACCCGCCCTCCCCTAGCTACGCCTCTGGTGGAGTCAGGGAGATTCTACTGGCTTGAGACTTTCGGGTTAGTAGTCTAGTTCTCTACCGCTAGGCCACGGCGTCCCATAAAATGAAAAAAGATGCCATCAAAGTGACTCAAACACCCGGTTTTCTTTACTTAGCATAGTTTGTTTACAGGTCTTTAGTATTATAATTATTTATAAACATTCATCGGCATAATAATGTAGGTATCCCCAGTCGCCTTTACTTTCTGTAATATGAGTCTACTTGAGGGCTAGGTGGACTCGAGACTTCTGGGTTAGTAGTTGAAACACTCACTCCTTAACTTTACATTAGACCCACTTAATTTATTTTAAGTTATAAAGATATATTATATAATTTAGGACTTGGGGCTTCAATAACACAAGTAAATCAAAAATATACTAATCCATCTCTTATTAATAAGACAACAGCTCAGTAAAGCCATAGAGTCGATACCACCAAGTACGTTCCATTGTGTTTAATGTGTGAAACCAGCACTATGTTTTTGCCCAAAGACTTGTAGGTGACAGCTCATTTATTGACAAAGGGCAGTAACCGACATCTGATGATCCTGAAAGATATTGAGTTGCTTTACTTTGTAACCAATCCAATTATTTTCCTAGGAAATTTTTTCAGTGACTGTTAGTAAGGAGCAGTAGAGTGCTGGACTGTCTGACACATGTGATACACATGGGATGCCTGGACTGTCTGACACATGGGATGCCTGGGCTGTCTGACATGGGATGCCTGGACTGTCTGACACATGGGATGCCTGGACTGTCTGACACATGTGATGCCTGGACTATCTGACACATGGGATGCCTGGACTGTCTGACACATGGGATGCCTGGACTGTCTGACACATGGGATGCCTGGACTGTCTGACACATGGGATGCCTGGACTGTCTGACACATGGGATGCCTGGACTGTCTGACACATGGGATGCCTGGACTGTCTGACACACGGGATGCCTGGACTGTCTGACACACGTGATGCCTGGACTGTCTGACATGGGATGCCTGGACTGTCTGACACATGTGATGCCTGGACTATCTGACACATGGGATGCCTGGACTGTCTGACACATGGGATGCCTGGACTGTCTGACACATGGGATGCCTGGACTGTCTGACACATGGGATGCCTGGACTGTCTGACACACGGGATGCCTGGACTGTCTGACACATGGGATGCCTGGACTGTCTGACACATGTGATGCCTGGACTGTCTGACACATAGGATGCCTGGACTGTCTGACACATGTGATGCCTGGACTGTCTGACACATGTGATGCCTGGACTGTCTGACACATGGTATGCCTGGACTGTCTGACACATGTGATGCCTGGACTGTCTGACACATGTGATGCCTGGACTATCTGACACATGGGATGCCTGGACTGTCTGACACATGGGATGCCTGGACTGTCTGACACACGGGATGCCTGGACTGTCTGACACATGGGATGCCTCATGCCTGGACTGTCTGACACATGTGATGCCTGGACTGTCTGACACACGGGATGCCTGGACTGTCTGACACACGGGATGCCTGGACTGTCTGACACACGTGATGCCTGGACTGTCTGACACACGGGATGCCTGGACTGTCTGACACATGGGATGCCTGGACTGTCTGACACACGGGATGCCTGGACTGTCTGACACACGGGATGCCTGGACTGTCTGACACATGGGATGCCTGGACTGTCTGACACATGGGATGCCTGGACTGTCTGACACATGGGATGCCTGGACTGTCTGACACATGGGATGCCTGGACTGTCTGACACATGGGATGCCTGGACTGTCTGACACACGGGATGCCTGGACTGTCTGACACACGTGATGCCTGGACTGTCTGACACACGTGATGCCTGGACTGTCTGACACACGGGATGCCTGGACTGTCTGACACATGGGATGCCTCATGCCTGGACTGTCTGACACATGGGATGCCTGGACTGTCTGACACAAGGGATGCCTGGACTGTCTGACACATGGGATGCCTCATGCCTGGACTGTCTGACACATGTGATGCCTGGACTATCTGACACATGGGATGCCTGGACTGTCTGACACATGGGATGCCTGGACTGTCTGACACACGGGATGCCTGGACTGTCTGACACATGGGATGCCTGGACTGTCTGACACACGGGATGCCTGGACTGTCTGACACACGGGATGCCTGGACTGTCTGACACATGGGATGCCTGGACTGTCTGACACATGGGATGCCTGGACTGTCTGACACACGGGATGCCTGGACTGAGTTTGATAACCTCCCCAATAAAACCGTTAAGAAAGTGCCAGTTCCTCCCAAAAATAATAACAACACTTTAAGGAAAGAAAGCAATAATGAGGAAGATAATCTCTTAGCGTAAGTGTAAATGCTTTTTAAATATAGAGACATTTCTATTTGATATAAACTTACATTTTTACAAAATTTTGAATTTTACTTTTAATGCCTGTAAGTATTTTAATTTTAAAAGCCTTACAATAATTTGTCTAGAGAAGTGTTGATTTTAAACAATTGAATACTGAGAATAAATAGCAAAGATTCATCTACATCAACCCAACTTACCTCTACAGAAGCATCTTACCAAAAATGAATCAACCACCAAAACACTGGTAGGTCTTCAGCATCTTCAGCCAAACAACATTACAATATTACATCAGTAAAGCAAGGTATTTGTCAGGTAAGACAATTTTATATAAAAATAAAAGTTTATCTACTTTTCATAATTTTAATTTTAACTTTAGTTTAAGAACTTAAGTTATTCAAAGTTAATGTTTAGTTTTTTTTTTTTGTTAGAGAATTAAGTTAAAAATAAATTCAGCAGTTAATTTTTTGTATGTTTTGAAACAATTTTTGTAATTTGTGGCAAAGCTATTTTATGGGCATGTTTTGGAAAGGACTGACTTTTCTGTGGGGATGTGTGATGAAAGAAAGAGACCAAAAGTACACAAAGGGTTGCATCTTTTGGATTACCTCTAAATAGTTGTAGCAATTTTCATCATAAATAATTATAATTATTAATCCCAAGAACTGTACCAGGCGAGACAGTGCAGTCCCAAGGGTAAAGCCTTTGTTGCAGAATTCCAGTCCAGTCCTAAACCTAAGCTGTCTTTTCAAATAATTATAAGATTTACTTTCAATTTTTATAATATGAACCAGTTCTAAATTGTTTTCTTTTGCTGCCTGACTCTAAAATAAGTTTTTTTTATAATTATTTACTTCTTAACATTAATAAGAAAACATTTTTTTAAGATTATAAAAAAAAACCTCACAAATTAAATTCAAATTGTATTTCTCAAATATAGAGTATAAGCAAAAGATGTGAGAATGTTATGTAAATACTGAAACAATGTTTATGTAAATCTTGTATTTTAAAAAATACTTTTTGGCTATTAATGGTTTAAAGAAAAGTTTTCCTAACCATACATTTTAATTTTTATATATTATCATTACATACATTGTAAAAAATGTTTACAAATTAAATTTTCAGGTGCTGCATAAGGGTAACGTTGGAAAAAGGGGGTGCCACTCCCAGCTGTTGGAGCTAACAAAAAACCTACAGGATCCTCAAATTATGGACTAGGTCCAAGGCGAACTGATTGGACATCAAAGTGAGTTCTCAGCTAACAGCTGATGCAGGGAGTCTGTCTATGAAACTTCCTTTTGTTTACTCATTTCTTGATATAATTTTAAGTAGATTTGGGAATTACACTGAAAGATTGTTTGATTGGTGAGGAAATTAAGTTTTACTTATAATAGTCAAAATAATTTTCATCATAAACTCCATATTTTTATCAACTACAAGACAATGCTGAAAGTAAACTGCATTCTCAGGATAAAAATTTTTATTTACAAATTAGAATCTAATAATTAAAAATGTCTGCCACAAGTCAATTTTGCCATGTTATTTTGATTAACAATGATGTTTTATTTTCTTTCAAAAGTTTTTTGAAAATGATTTTCTGGATCAATAAAAGGTGCATGGCAAAATTGTTACGAAGCTTAAAAGCATCTTTTAATTTATTCTAATTAGTTTTTAAAAAGTAAAAAAAAATATAAATATTTTTTTTTATTTGTAGGAAACTTTTAAGCAGGTATTATGTGTTGATTTAGAAATTTTCAAAAGTCATCCACATTTTATGTATGCCTATACATTACAAAACATTACAAAAAAAAACATAATTGTATTTGAAAATAAATTAATTTATTGATTTGAAATTTGTTTTGTTGAATATATTTTATTCTTTTTCTTTGATGTTTACATCCACATTTTATGTATGCCTATATATCACAAAACATTTCAAAACAAATACATAATTGTAATTGAAAATAAATTAATTTAATGATTTGACATTTGTTTTGCTAAATATATTTTATTCTTTTTTCTTTGATGTTTACATATTATCGAAACAGCACTTAATAACACTTATTTTTTACTCTTAAACAAAATTTAATAATCTTTCTATAGTTGTTTTTTAAAACTCCATTAACAAATGAACCCTAGAAATCCTGTAATAAACATAAGTATGGGTTAATTTGTTTTACAAAATTTTGAATGTATTTAGAAATCTCATTTTATGTTATTTTAATATTACTTATTTAATGATGATCTTTTAAAATAAACAATATCTTTCTTTTTTATATCAAGTATTGTGTTTTTAAATAGAAAAATGATGTTTTGAAATTTAACAGCCTATATTTTCAGTTTTATGTTTGTGATATCAAAACTATAACATTAAAAATTGATACTTTGAAATTTATTCTGAAAGTTTAAAAAATAGGAAAGTTTTAAAATTCCTGTAAGAATGCAAACAAATTTCAGTCCAGTAGGAATGTAAACATGGTGCAGATCTATGCGAAAATTGTTATTTCCTGTACAAATGTACACATGTTACAGTTCCTGATAGAGAACTTCGATTTACAAAAGCAAAATGTTCACATGATTTAAACATCTATCATATGTTTAATATTTATCATAGCTCTGAATACATTGAAACTAACAAAGATAAGCACCAAATACTTTAAATGTTGGTAAAGCAACAAAATGGTTTGCCATGTACAACTTAACAACTTTTCTACACCAAACTGCTGCTTGCAAGAGTCTGGGTGGATCAGTTATCAACATCAGCAATGCATCTTATATTATATACTAAATTATGCCTAAATTAGAGATCAATGGTACAAACACCTGGTTACTAGTCAGGTTAGATGGGAATTTCCTCAGCTAGATTATCAACCACTGATGTTTTAAAAAAAAATATGTAACAAAATACATATCTATAAATCCAAACGACTTCTTTAGAACTGGTCCTTTCCGTCACCTTTAATCCACTAGTTGGCGTTTTTTCCTTCTAGACACACTGCAAGTATAAAAAAAAAAAAAACTAGTTACCCTTTCGTTTCAAAATGAAATTAAACTGAATGTAAATTTTTTTAAGGAATGTGATGCAAATAAGTTTGCTATTAGGCAGAAAGGGGTCTATTTGACACCCCAAAAAACCAAAATAAAATAACTAAAGTAGAAATCACATAAATGTTATCTTACGGGCATAGACTCTGGCCAGTATTTCATCATCCAGATAAGGCAAGGTATCAAAGGTTCTAGAAATAAAAACATTCTTGTCACTTCCAGCTATTTCTGTGAGCTCTCCAAGAAGATTGACCTGTTCACCAATTCCAACACAGATAATGTTTATTCTCTGACTACGAATGGTAGCTGCAATTCTTTTACCTAAATCGAAACAAAAAACACAGTTTTAAAATTCTCAGCCATTCACTATATTTCATATTTTAAACATTATTACTTAATAATACTTAATATTACTTACAGCAAAATAGAAACAGTGGCGTATGCAGGGGGGGGGTTAGGGGGGGTCATAACCCCTCGGTATATATATAAAAAGTATGAGGGGGGTGCAAATCGAAAGTTTGAGGGGGGGGGGTGCAAATCGAAAGTTTGAGGGGGGGGGGGTGCAAATCGAAAGTTTGTCCCCGGGTAAAAATTGGAAACCCCCCCCATGAGACGATCCTGGCTACGCCACTGAATAGAAACGATTGTTTTCTTTGATAACCAACTAACTCCATAAATCTATATTTTACAGGAGAAAAACTAATTTTTTCATTTCAAAAATTTTCAGGCAAATATATGAGGTATCACACTTCATAATATAATATAGCATTTCAATGTTTTACTGTTATGATTTTAGAAAAAATATAGCACTTTTAAAAAGTTAGTCAGTTAGTTATAGGGACCTAAAACTTTTGCTGCAAAACAATTTTTTACATGGTTTTAAAAATAATTGAATCTGAACCAAATACAAATGACAATGCTGTAATAAGAGACCAATAGACACAAGAAGCTTACATGAGGTGAGAGGGTCAGGCAGCAAATAGGTGATCAAGAACATGATTTTTACTGAATTTCGCCTTGCCCCTTTCTCCTCAGAAAACAAGTCCTCATTGATTATAAACTGAAGGGCTCTATCAGTTTGTGAACCTTGTTGGAGATGATTGAATTGTAAAATGTCCTGTGGATTGAGATTATCAAATAATATCACATTTATAAATTATAGATGCACCATTTTCTATACATCTATTCACAACCAATAATAGCAGCAGATTTATCTTTAATAATTCATAATTTAAAAATATATTTTTCTTACAGAAACTGCTTCATCTCTTGTCAAATCTCCGTTGAATGCTGACATTAAATGAGTTTCAGAACTAAAGATTATTGAGGAAGTTCTTAATTGTGATTCCCGGGTAGGAAATTTGAAAACTATTAGAGAGGTTAGACGTAGAATTTTGTTGTAGTGAACACAGGGAATGCTTTTTGATGATTCAATGATGAAAAGAGCATCTGCATCTACATAAAAAAGTTTGTAAATAGAAAAATTCATTATAAACATTAGTAAATTAAAAACAAAATTATAATTGATGTGAAAACATATTCCTGACTTATCCAGACAATTTTTAAAAATATACAGTCGTCTTACAAATATTTAAGTTTAAAAGACCATGTCTCACTTTCTACTAGTAAACAAGTTCACTGCTTCTAAATATACACGATCATCTTAAAATAGTGCGTCATCCTGCAACAAAGTATAGGACTCTAGGCTGCCTACCCAAAAAAAAAATTATTTCCTTAAGGAGAGCATAGATTTTCCGTAATAATAGGATACTGTCCGTAACTTTCAGTATTTCTTTACATTTTTAATACAATTTAAATAAGACCAATTTTATATTATCACAAAACTTATAAGCGTGATGATGGCACTCTGTGAGGTTACGGTATGCATGCTTTTTATTTCAAAGAAATTGACTAATTTAAAAAAAAACAGAGCAAAATTCAGCGTGTAAGGCGACAATGGAAAATCTAAAGTAGCAACTGTTCTTGCTATGAGTAGTCTGACGTATGCTATGGGCCTTCACTACCGATATCTAAACCGATGTGAACTCAGTGACCGCTCAACCGTGTCAGGATATTTTTACCGCTCATGAGAAAACAAGAGAGGCCGATGACACGGCGGGTTATGATGTTTAGAATTAGCATATTTGTTGAAAGAAATTGAAAATCGACATTTTATCTAGGTAATATCTGGAAGAAAAGGTTATTTTAAAAAAATGATCCATGATTGATCTAGATGGGCCTAGATCTAGTTGTTTAGTAAAAAAACTATTTTTACCCATAATTCCACCCCAGCTATGCTTCGCATTTTACCCACACCCAGAAATTTTTTAAAATAAATATAAACCTACGCTCTCATAATTTATTATTTGATGATTTAAACTTCCTGAAAAATAAAGAGTAGATCTAGATATAGTTTTAATTTTAATAGAGATATTTTCCATGTGAAACCAGAAACCAATGATCAAGGCAAGACCACAGACCATTCACGGGGCCAATAAACTTCACAACATAGACCCTACAACTACCACCCAACATGACATTACGTGAAGGGAGGGGGACTGATACAGAAGATGCTTGAAATAACACAGCTGAAATTTTAACTAGCTAAATATAGATTAAAACTAAAACTCAGACCGGTAACATTAAGTTTTGCCACAAGAAACAACAAATTTCATCGCTAAGTCTATTTTGATCTCTACTGAAAGCAAAACCTTTGCGGCATAATCATAATTCCGTAACCTGGGTTTCAAAATCATAAAGATACGGGCAAAACCGTACAAGTAGGCAGCCGTTCCTAATACTAAAGTTAACTGCTTTCTTTTAATTAATAGGATTCACCCAAATGTGCAGAGATTAGTTTAAAGAACTTTACCTATATCAGCAATTCCCAAATGCCTTATGCCTCTGCCATTAACAAATCTTGCTCCAATTTCCCTTCGAAACTGGACAGTGCGCTTCCATAGGCAATATCCTTTATATGGATTAAACAATGTTTTGGTCAAATAAAGGAACAAGGCATCAGGCCACTGATACAAACATCTGGCCACAGGAACAAGACATATGGCCACTGGTACAAACATTTGGCCACAAGAACAAGACATCAGGCCACTGGTACAAACATCTGGCCACAAGAACAAGACATTAGGCCATGGGTACAAACATCTGGCCACAGGAACAAGACATCAGGCCATGGGTACAACAACTGGCCACAGGAACAAGACATATGGCCACTGGTACAAACATTTGGCCACAAGAACAAGGCATCAGGCCACTGGTACAAACATCTGGCCACAAGAACAAGACATCAGGCCATGGGTACAACAACTGGCCACAGGAACAAGACATATGGCCACTGGTACAAACATTTGGCCACAAGAACAAAACATCAGGCCACTGGTACAAACATCTGGCCACAAGAACAAGACATCAGGCCATGGGTACAAACATTTGGCCACAAGAACAAAACATCAGGCCACTGGTACAAACATCTGGCCACAAGAACAAGGCATCAGGCTACTGGTACAAACATTTGGCCACAAGAACAAGACATCAGGCCACTGGTACAAACATCTGGCCACAGGCTAATCCCTTGGGTGGTTGTAAAATGGTGTTTGTAACTAGCACCTAGTCACCTAAGCCCCCTTTAATAAGCAACCAAAGTAATATTTCCCTTAAGAATAAACAACAGAATACCAGCAAACATTATAGAAATGATAGTTCAGTATCTGCTCCTCTAAAATATAACAACTACAATCTGATTAAATCCAATAAGCTTAACATTAATTAAATGATAGTGCACCTTACCAGATATGACAGCTATGGCAATAACCACAAGGAAGAATATTATCTTGTTGTAATGGGTTTGTGTAGTAGTTTGTGTAGTAGTTTGTGTAGTTTCCTGTTGTTTTATTTTACACACAGTTCTGCCTCCTGGATAATCAATACAATCTACCAGTTCAAATCTTTCCAAACCTAGAGATAAGACGTACACACATGTTCAGCTGTATACTATAAAGGTGTAATAGACTGGTTTTGTATTTATCTAGTTTGGCCTATTATATATTTATACTAGACAGATTTTAAAGCAAATATTTGTAGTCCTAGCCTATACAGTTTAAACTTGATTCAGAGCGGGTGATTAAAAAAATGGAAAATAATTCTCACAAAAATAAAAGGAAAAAAAGCTGTTTTTTAATAATACATTGTTTTGATTTGTGAATATAAAAAAAGAACAGCAAACACCTTTTTGCTTCATTTGCTTTTACGTGAGAATTATTACACATACCTCCTATGTTTGGATTTCATTATCAAATTAGATGATTAGCCTTAAAAAAAATATTTTCAAAAGAAATTACCATTTGTTGCACAGAGTAGTGTCAGGAATATAAATGTCTTTAGAACAGAAGACAACATCTGCAAAAGTATTTTATAAATATACAGATACACACACACACACACATATATATATATATGTATATATATATATATATATATATATATATATATATATATATATATATATATATATATATATATATATATATATATATATATATACATATATATATATCCTTTAAATAAACATTTATATTTTTAAACTGTAATAGGGTCAGGTTGAGTTCCCAGTGAAAGAGCGGGTTGGAAATAGAAAGCTATAGGCAGAACTAGGGCAGAAAAAAAATTACTTTTTTTATTGGAATTTAAGTGAATGTTGGTTTACGCATGGTTTTCAAGGTTTTATGATACAATTCACGGTTTAATCCATTTGCGGCTGGAATTCAAGGCTTTTTCAAAGCGTTGAGTTTTTTTTCTGAATTCAATGCTTTTTCAAGAATTCACGGTCCACTACCAACCATGTAAAATTAACCTAGAAGTTGTATGCTCTGTTAGAAAGACTTAAGTAAAAAAAATTAGCTGGCGCATGAATAACCCTTTTTTTTCCTGAAAAACTCTTAATTAGGCTAGGCCTCTAGATTCTATATTGTAAATGGTATAGTAAACTATAGCCTATGGCTATATTTATCAAGTATTTCCGTTTGCGTACGTAATCACTATAGATCCGGTTCATTTTTGGTGTGCCCATCAAAAAATGAAAATTAAGTTGTCAGTTCAATAATCAAATGTACTTAATTTAGATCTAAATTGATCTCCCTAGAAATTACTCAGAATGACATGATGCCGATTTGAGCTGAAATGGCTTGAAATCGATAAAATATTGAAATTGATTTAAAAAGTGTTAATTCCAAGCAAAAAATCAGCAAAACTCAAGAGATGATTGCTTTTTCCATTGCAGATATTTTTTCTGCCGGAAAATATCTGAAATTTTCTGCTTGGAAAAATAATTGTCATTTTTCCGCAGATCGACATTTTCGTGGATAGTAGCCTATATTCAATAAACACTCCCTAAAAGAAACTGACCTTGCTGGACCCATTACTGGTTTTGAACATGGCTACCAGGTTGCGGACCAGCCATGTTTTGGTGATGTCCTGATCCTTAAAATCCACTTCATGTTTCACTTCCGTCTCTGGAAACTGCTCACTTCCTGGCAACAATGGCAGTGGACCTTTTCGTCCATTTTCTCCCAGTGCTAAGCAGGCAAAGGATGTTTTAGATAAGTTTTCATCAGTAAGAAGTGTGGCTGTAAAACATTGGAAAAATTAATTTGAAATTTTGCTACATAAGCGATAGAAGAAAAACAAACTTGTAGCTTCATTTAAAAATACTTTACCAATGGTTGTTACACATTTTTCCTTAGCTATGCTTGGATTGCCTGAAATTCTGTAATAGAAAAAAGTAAAGATATTATTTGCAGGATATGTTTAGGTTTTAACCAATAATAACTTAGTAAACATGCTCTGGTCACAAGAATAGGTCTGGGTGTATTAAGTGTATATAAATCTAAAAGCATTAGACAGTGAAGATTAAAATGTAGCTATACCACTAGGTAAAAGATTGGTGTGATGTAGCCTACATTTGAAACTTACAAGTCTCCTGCCCCCAGCTTAAGGATGCTTCTTGATGGAATGTGGTCACTAGAAAATACAGTAACTCCATGCTGAATGGTCACCACTAGCACTTGAGGCTCATCCTGGACAGATAAAGCATTAGAAATAAAGAAAGGGACTCACTTCAACAAAGTAACATTTTTTTTTCTTCCTATATCATTAGAGTCATGATAAGAGATTGGGCAAGGATTATATATTGGAGCAGTATTAGGTCTGGTCAAGGATCAGAGCAGTATATTAATAGCCACTGAAAGATCACTTAGATATGCACAACCTGCAGTAAGTAGAAAATATAAGGGACTACAGAGCTACTGGATATTGTACAAGCTTCTATTATACATCAGAAATATTGTGTTCATATTCTATTATTCTTATTAAAGACAAAAGACTAATCTTGTTTTGCTTTACTAACAGAGATTTACTAAATTGTGGGACTTAACATGTTAAAATATCAAATCTGATATGCATTGGTACATTTTTTGCTTTAAACAACAGTCTAATTAAACACCATTGGCAAACAGTCATTACTATGATGAGCAAAATTATGTGCCAAATTAGAAACTGATGCACACTGTAACAACATGAATTCTTTGTTGTTGTGGGTTAGTTTTCACACAGGAATACAAGCAATAGTGGCAACTTCAAATGATGACTTTATTTACACTATATACAGTGAGAATGATAAATCCATAGTTATTCATGGTAAATCCATATTAGAAGATACTCAACAAGTACAGTCACAGTCACGACTCCAAGTCATGGAGACATCTTACATTCACTGCCACAGTTCAAGTCCCAAGTCCTAGCACACAACACCCGTTCACCTTTTTTTCTCCCTTTTATACGGTCCATTCTCTCCCCTTACGTACATGAGCGATCTCACCCAAAAACATGAAAAAACACATGACGATAGCTCAGACAGTCCTTCCGCTAGCCAGGTACTCTTCATTCATGCAAAACACAATATAATAAAGATACATAATAATACAGTCTGTGACACACACAAAAAAATATTACTACAATTTACAATAAGTAAAAATTCTGTAAATCAAAATAATCAGCAGAAAATCTTAATAAAAATAGCATGTACCAAAATATGAAAATATACATCTCTAGTAACATGATCTGGCATTTCAGCCCTTAATATCAAAACAAAAGAATATAAAAAACTACATCAGCATAACTACAGCTCAACTAAAAATACCTTGTCAACATTGTGAAGCAGTAAAGCTTCTAAAAGTTGTCTGTTGGTATCATCCAGATTACAGTAAGCCTGGGACATCAAGGACAAAGCTTCTTGTACTGCCAATTGTGTGTCTCCCTCTTCCTGTCATTTAAAAGAGAAAATGGCTTATTAAAAACATAAACATGAGACTAAAGAAACTGGAGTGGTTTATATATTTTTTTTAGTGATAATGTTAACAACAGCAGAGTTTTGTATTTTACTTTAAATAAACACAAGGTGGATAAAAGATCTAACATGAAGTATATTTTCAAGTATATTTATTTTCTAAAAATAGTCAATCATTTTAATCATATAAAAAGTGATGTAGGTAAATCACAATTTTAAACATACTAAATATGTAAATCAGATTTGAAAAGTGATTTAGGAAACCAAACAGTTCTTGAAAATAAAAGAACTCATATTGAATATAATGGCCTAATTGTTAAAAATAAAGTTATACTAAAGTAATATATTCTTGCCTGGCACATGTAATCAAAGAAAATTTGTAGCGCTTGAATATCTTTGGTCAACTTATTAGATGAACATCTTGTAATTTTGCCTACAGCAACAAAGACCAGACTTCTCAGTTTAACATCCTGCTGATAAGATTTGTATGTGCAATATTATTACATTTTTTAAAAAGAACTAGTGCACTAAATTATGTCTAATATTTTAACTAAATTTACAAAATTTTAAGTCACCATCCTTTACTTTCTAAAAATCTCCTGCAAATAATTAAAATTTACTTTTAAAGACATTGTTAGTCTTATCCAACAAACAAACAGTTTTATCCAACAAATTCACAATGTATGTACTGCTGGTTATTTGTGTGTAGTTTTATTTGGTTAACAAGCAATTTCTAACTTCTCTTCTGGGAGTGATAGTTAATGAAGAATTTTACTTTTTTGTTGTTGCATTACTTTCAACATAAAAAAATCTCAATACAGCTCATTTGATAAATGTAAAGAAAAAATAAGTCTTTTAATAAGTAGCTAAAGAAATCCTAAGACAAGTTGAGCTACTTCCTGTGTCTGTACTGAGCAATAACCAAGGTAAACATAATACTCTAACAGGAAACACAAAACTACAAAGCAGAGAGTGGTTGACTGTTTTATAAGAATGAGATTGAAAATTTAGAAAAAAATGCTAGCTTTTTGGGATCAGTTCAAGCAGTTAAAAAGACTTATAGAAAAGTTATTTTCTATTATGGTATACAGTCTTTATTGACCATAAATGCCTAAAGAAATATTTTTTCTAAAAAGCAAATTTAATAGGAAGCTCTTTATTGATGAAACAATCATGACAGTGGACCCACAATGCTCCTGAAATACATCTTTAGTGGAAATAAAAATAAATAGAATATCACTAGCATTTAAAATAGATCTTAAAAAAAAAAGAACTTAATCCTCCAAAAAATTAACTTCATTTTCTACTTGACTCTTGCTTTTTAGTCTAATTTTAATGTGAGCAAGAAGCTTAAGTACCTAAGTGGAACAACAATTTTTAAAAATAAAACCAGCCAACTATAATTTCAGATGAAAATAATTTTACTACACTTCATAACTTCATATTTTGGGGAAAAAAATATCTTAAGAATTGTGTTGTTTTGAAATTTAATAGCTAAAAATCTAAAGAAATTGTATACATTCTTTAAATTTAAAGTGAAAAAATACTTGTATTTCTGATTTTGATATGACAAATTATTTTCACAATGAAACAAGTCTCATCTGTACTTCTAAGATCATTTAGTTGAATTATATGATACAGATTGACGTCTCAATAGCATATTTTGATTCCACTTATTCCAAAAGAAAGTTAGAAACACAACAATCTTATTAATAATGAGAATACCTTGGATCTGACTGCTTCATCTGAGCTATTCAACTTTAAAATTAAGGGAGCTAAAAATTTGCCAAAAGGCATCTGAAACTGTTCATCACTTTCAGCAGATCTAATACGCCAGAATACTTGCTTGACAAGAGCTGGAAAAAAGATAGTTGGAAAATTTTAAAATAAAATTATACTGCATCACTTTTTGTTGTGAACTAACAATCAACAAGTAAATATATTCTAGTTGTATAATATAATAAATTAAAGTGAATGGCCCTATATTTTAGTTTTTGAAAATTTCAATTAAATGGAAAGATATTAAGATATTTATTTACAATTTTCAACAACGTAAATGGCATTAGCATAACCTAAATTGATTGGATATACCCTCCTATTCAATAACTATTGTAACTTTAATTTAAGGATTAAAGGAGCATGCATATATTATGATGATATCTATATACTATAAAAATAGTTTTTTATTTGAAAATGAAATCAGCTTATGTACAGTACATGTGAGTGATGTGGTAAATGTGAGGGTGGGAGATGCGTGTGTGTGGTGGGAAGAGAGGGATTGGGCATGCAATGTTGTGTTGTATTTAAAATTAATAGATAGGCCTATAGTTTCTAAGCATTAGAGTATGTTTTATAAAATGAAAAATTACTTTAAACATTTGTAAGACAACCTAATTATAAAACTAGTATGTATAGGCCTACATAATGAGATTGTTTTTTAGCTTATAAATTTAACTCTATGCAACAAGCACATGACTGTTATTAATGTTTTGAGCTTATATTATATTATATATTTAACTCAATGTAACAAGCACATTGATTGGCTGAGGTCTTGTTCTACTAGGGAATCTAGATATCTATCTTATGAATCGGATGGAGTATTTTGGATATACCTATGCATGTTATGTAGGACAACAGGATTCATCAAGAAACTCCCCCCCCCCCCCCTCCCATTCATTGGCTGGTGAAGTTCAGTGTACTTTAGCAATATCCACAGAAGACACATTTTATGTCTTATGATCAACTCATTCAATGACTATCATTAGGACGTTAGCAAAACCAAAAATAAAGTAAAATCAAGTAAGTTAGGCCTTTTCATAAAATTTAGGAGAAGTTGGAATAGTTCAGAAGAATTCAGGGAACACTGACAGAGTTAAAAACCTCCTAAATAAATAAATAATAAATACTTAAACGAGTCTTTTATTGAAGTGATTATCATAAAAGTTTTCAGACATACCGCTTTCCACTTGTGCAAAGGAAGTCATTTTTTTTTAAAAATCTTAATGACAGGAATAAGAGATCTAGTCTAGATCTAGATTCTAGATTAGATCTAGAATCTACTTTTCACTTTGGTTTGTTTACTGTACACATTTATTGTAGATTCTAATATTGATGTTACTGCAGCCGTTATAATAGTTATGTGATTAGGCAAAACAATTTCGTTTCGTTTCTTTTCCGGTGATGCTTTTGATGCTTTGGTAACACTTTTACGTACGAGTTTTAAAAAAAAAAGATTTTCTCTCTAAGCCTAGGCCCAATACACACATTGTCATGCAAATTATCTATGTGATTGCGCGATTGTAGTCTGTGGTGCTAAGCTCAATAAAATGTCATGAAGTTCCACCCATACACTACAACTACAAGCCACAGACTATAATTATAAGCGGCATGGGCGGAGCGAGGGGGGGGGGGGGCGGGGGTGCGGACCGCACCGGGTGACACCATTTAGGGGGGTGACACCAAGGTAAAAAATAGCAAAATATATAGAGAAAAACTCGAGGGGGGGGGTGCAAATTGAATGTTTGAGGGGGGGGGTGCAAATCGAAAACTTGAGGGGGGGGGTGCAAATCGAAAGTTTGAGGGGGGTGCAAATCGAAAATTTGAACGTTTGTCCCTGGGAAGGGTCTCTATGCCTCTGGGGGGTGACACCATTAAGTGCCGCACCGGGTGACACCCGACCTCGCTACGCCACTGATAAGCGGCATGATATGCCGGTGTACAAAATTGGCAAGTTTTCATAATTTTGTCATTTAGAAAATCAAATTACGAGAACGTTCCTCACTACACAAACTCATCAAAAGGCTTAAGTCATATAGACCCTAGATCTAGATTTGACCATAGGGGGTTTGACCACAGCGGAGCTTTGATCATAGGGGGTTTGACCATAAGGGGTTTGACCACAGCGGGGCTTTGACCATAACGGAGCTTTGACCATAGGGGGTTTGACCATAGGGTCTTTGGTCACAGGTGGTTTGTCAACGTGTGTTTTATCTCATGCGCTGTGTCCAGCTTTAAACACAGGTGTTTTTAGCGCAATTTCCATTCTGGAGAATTGCGTTTTTTAACCCGTCATTTCTGGATGGATGAATGGATGGATGAATGTGTGTCCGCAGCTTTAAGTCGTATCTCCTCCTCAACGAAGCAATATCGATGACTAGTTTCCATGTAGGGTCTTTGATCACAGGTGGTTTGTCCTATGCTGGCGTTAGATAATAAGCGCAGTCCATATATTGTAATGATTTATTTTAAATAATATGTTAATTCATCATTTTTATTATATAAATACACGTCATCTAAACCATACAATTATTACTTCTTTGACTACACTGTTGGCATGTTTTTTTATCCTTTGTTATCATTTCTATTTATGTATTTTCAAGTACATCCACATTATTTATTTGTGAAACTTGTTATATGTCGCATTATTTATGTTCCATTTATATTTAAAATAAATAAATTCTATGAGGCGAAGCACCAGCCTTTATGTGGAGACTAAAATATCGTTCTTAACTTTTCTTTAGTACGTTAATTTCTATTAATGGACTCCCAGGAAACATGTATAAAATCGTATGATGTATCACACATTTAAACGAAATAACACTTTATAATATCTATTTTAAAATCTATATAGTATGGTTAACCCCCCTCTGTGGTCAAAGCCCCGCTGTGGTAAACCCCCTATGGTCAAAGCCCCTATGGTCAAACCCCCTATGGTCAAATCCCCCCTGTGGTCAAAGCCCCGCTGTGGTCAAACCCCCTATGGTCAAACCCCCTATGGTCAAAGCTCCGCTGTGGTCAAACCCCCTATGGTAAAAGCACCTGTGGTCAAAGCACCTAGGACCGCCGCAACACGTTCAGGATAGCTAGTTTGTTTGTACTCATAAGTTGTCTATAAATAGATTGTTTCTGCGAATGGAATGAATCGGGGGAAAAGCGCACCAAGTACGCGTAATGAATGTGATGACGTAACAGGCAAAGCAGCTGTTGTTTTTCGAGTACCAAACCAAATTTTAAGTCCATATTTGCTTTTCTTTTTCTTCAGTTGCACGTATTTCCTTTAAAGTAAGTGTTGTTTTAAATAACAGTCTTGTTCTTACGCTTAGCATAACTTTAATAAATTTTAAGAACGGTCATGTTATATATTCGTTCGTCACTTCATTATTTTGTTGTGAGTTGTAACAGTATTCCACTATCTTAATGGCGTTTGTTTTTTGTCAACTTCCGGGTTCATTTGTAGCCGTGTTATCACATAGAAAGACAAGTAGGCCTTTGTTGTAATGTGGCTGATACGCTAGACTGAACTCAACATCAGAGAGCTAAAAGTCAGTGTTTAGTAGTTGATAGATTTTAGTAAATCATACCTACATGTCCATATTATATTCGTTCTATGGCTTTGGCACAGTCCATAAATGACGTCAAACTCTTAGTTGGAAGGGGGGGGGTCCGTCTCTCGGTAAAATCACGATATAGCGTCGGTTATTATTCCGGAACTGTACAGCAGTAAAAAACAGTAAAACCATGGCGTAGTCTGTCGAGCCGTTCCGGAAACCACCGGAAATACTGTAAACCATAATTTATTTGCCGCCATATTATTTTTCGTACATAATGTTTAAAAATGTGCAAGGATTGATTTTAGTTGCATTTTAAATACTGTTTTGCTAATTATTTTGTATTTCTAATTATTTTAAGTGTATGTGCCAATTATTGCTGCTACTAAACATTATTCTAGTTATTCTTACTACTTTTAACTTTAGTAAATCTAATCGTCTTATTTACTAACAGAACTAGAGCTGGTTGTTGCAAATCTTCTGCAGGTTTTTTCTGTTTCTTAAAAAAAACATTAATTACTACACTCGACTAATAATATTAATAATATTTAGATTTACTAATTGTTGCTAATTTTTTGTCAGTTAAACATTAAATTAAGTTAAAACATTAATTTAATGCACTTGACTTTATTTTTCTTTCACCGGTCAAATAAAGTATGGTTTACAGTAACGAATGTTACCGAAACTCAACGAACATTACCCAATAATTTCCGACGCTATATCGTGATTTTACCCGTCTCTCTGTGCACATGCTACTTCATATGACATATGTACCATCGTTTATAGTTTATGCGAATGTGTACGTGTTTGTACATATGTGCATACAGACGTCTACGTATGTATATGCGTATTTACGTGTATATGTGTAGATGTACTTGTGCACGGGTATGATTGCGTGCATGTGTACATAACATATATAACTAATAATAAAGTATACTTTTCAAACGTTATACCCATTGCAGCTACACAGAGACTGTTGTCAGCGTTGGACGAAAAACTTGACGGAGATGGCTTTTCTGGACACGGATGGGTTAATGCAAGACATAGACAGTGACTATCAGCAAGAAGATGAAGAACCACAAAGCAACCACGAAAGACTGGAAGACGCAGAAGATAATCTTGAAGCTCTGAGAAATAGAAAAGCAAATCCCGAGACTCAAGAAGATGTTGAAGAAAGTCCGGACCCTCAAGAAGAACATCAGGCCAAACCGAAAAAACTATTTACAGGTAAGTGTGAAGACAGGCGTTTAGTGTATCTGTAAGTAGGAGTGGTGTTGTGTGTGTGTGTGTGTGAGTGTGTAGGTGAGTGGCGTTGTGAGTATGAGTGAGAGTGTAACTGTGTGCGTGTTAGTGTGTTAGTGTTAGTGTTAATGTGAGTGTTAGTGTTAGTTAGTGTGAGCGAGTGTGAGTGAGTGTTAATGTGAGTGTTAGTGTTTGTTAGTGTGAGTGTGAGTGAGTGTTAGTGTTTGTTAGTATGAGTGAGTGTTAGTGTCAGTGTGAGCATGAGTGGAGTGTTAGTGTGAATGTGAATCTGAATGTGAATGCGAGAGCTTGCGTGTGCGTCTACATTTAAATTAACGAGTACATGTACGTGTACGTCAAGTATAAAACCGACCATACTCTCACACATTTAGTATTGTTATCCACATTGCAGCCAGCAGTGGCGTAGCCAGGATCGTCTCAAGGGGGGGGGGGGTTCCTATTTTTACCCGGGGTCAAACTTTCGATTTGCACCCCCCCCCCCTCAAACTTTCGATTTGCACCCCCCCCTCATACTTTTTATATATACCGAGGGGTCTATGGGGGGGTTATGACCCCCTAACCTCCCCCCCTGCCTACGCCACTGGCAGCCAGTGTTTCTTCCAGACTTTTTTCTCCGGGGGAGCACTTGAAATTTTCGGGGGGGGGGGGGGGGCGGTAGACTTTCTTCGGGAGGGGGGGCACTGTTAAAAGTATATATTTTCTATAAAATTTTCTATAAAATTATATAAATTTCATTTCGTTCGGGGGGGGGGGGGGGGGCGGTAAAAAAATTTCGGGGGGGCTTCGCTCCCCCCCCCCCCCCCCCCCCCCCCCGAAGAGATGCCTGGAAGAAACTCTGATTGCAGCATGTGAATGTTAATGAGCTTGCGTGTGCGTCTAAATTTAAGTTTACGAGTACATGTACGTCTACGTCAAGTATAAAACCGCCCATACTCTCACACATGTAATATTGTTATACACATTGCAGCGGCACGGAAGAAGCTGGCATCTCTGGATAAACGAATGACGAAGATGGAAAATTCCATGAAAAAGCTTTCTAAACAAATCAAAACTGTACAAAAAGAAATGAACGCAACCTTGAAGGGAAGTGGTACTATCCAGGAAATCAGCATGAAAACAGTGTTAACACAAAACAGTATGGACTTCCACCTCCGTAAACCCTACAGCGTTAAGATAGCGGTCGACAGGCGCGACAGCTTCACAAACTCTAGCACGCCATCTAACCACGACAACATCCCGTCTCCGTCTGATTATTCCAACAACCCATCTCCATCAAACCATGCCACCGTAGGGTCACCATCCAACACTGGCAACGTCAGCTCACCATTCAATAATGGTGGCACTACACCATTCATTAATGGTGTCAGTACACCATTCATTAATGGTGTCAGTACACCATACAATAATGAAATCTTTAGTGCACCATGCAACATTGGCAACATCAGTACACCATACAACAATGCCATCAACACTACGCGGTGTACTTGTTTGGAGAAATTGTTTCTTGCTATAATGATGACCTCATTCATAATCTGCGTTTACAGCTTATATTTGCTTCTAGATATGTAATATATGTGCATATATATATATATATATATATATATATATATATATATATATATATATATATATATATATATATATATATATATATATATATATATATATATATATATACTAGCCGTCCCGGCCAAACCCTGCTCTGGCTTCTGTGAAAAACCTTTCTGTTAAAGACCATTACCTGTGTGCTTAGTAATCATCATAAACCCGGCATTGTCCACCCAAACCACAACCAACCAAACCAACAAAACGCAAACATAACGCTAACACAATTACAAATACAAACGAAAACAAAAACCATGAGTCAACTAGCTAGTACCAAAACAAAACAAGCTGCCCAACTTGTCTAGCACGCTAGCCAGATATTTACCTCGTTATCTCGTTTGGTCTCCCGTCACCATTGGCGAGGTCACCTGGACATGGGTGTTCTCTTACCACGTGACTAGAAGATGACATGACATACAGGTCCGCTAATTAGACGATTGTGTGTCATCGCATACAGGTCAACTTATTCGACAATTGTGTGTCATATGTCTTGTGTAAGCCAACGAGAATGTATGGGCATGTCTTGACTATGCGTTGATGAAAAAAAAAACATATTGAAAATTATTTTGTTTTTCTTAAACTTCATGCGTTTAATTTCTGTTTTTTTGTTGCAATAATGTTATTGTTATGTTATGTTGGTTAATATTTGATGGAATAGTCTGTATGATAATAAAACTCAACGTAGTTTGTTGTGAATTCAGTTGTGTCAGAAAGGTAGAGGGGTAAGTAAGTATTGACAGCCGCATCTGTTGGCACAATTATGGTGGGTTATGATAAAGTTACTAAAATGTGGACAACAGTCTTCATTCAAAAAGATCGTCGATTAATAAATGACTAACACGTCATCTTTAATAACGATTACCTAGTCCGACACTGAAATGTGTGCTTGGGGCAAGGGGGGGGGGGTGCTTTGAACTGGGACGAGATCGTTTAATTTTTAGTTTAAAGCATGTGGGTAACACCTGGTTCAAATTGTTTGAGACGGGTAAGCAGAGTTTCTTCCAGCTATCTCATCGGGGAAGAAAGTCTACCCCCCCCCCAAACGAAATGGAATTTATATATACTTTTAACAGTGTCTGCCCCCCCCCCCCCCCCCGCGGGAATTTTAGTCCGCATAGCAAGATAAAAACACTAGATTAGGCAATCAAATTAAACCTTCTTATCCTTAAGTCAGAAGAATGTTAGAATAATACTGTGAATTTAAAACAAAATATGTCAAGAGAAATCTAAAACTAAACGTGTAAGACTAGTTAAAAAGAAGTTGGAATACTTACAAATGTATTGTTTTTATAGACAACTTTATTCGTTGTTTACATAGTGTAGCCTCTACCAGCAACAGAGGCGTAGGGAGGGGGGGGTGCAGACCGCATCGGGTGACACCATTTAGGGGGGTGACACCAAGGCAAAAAAATAGCATAATATATAGAGAAAAACTTGAGGGAATGGGTGCAAATTGAAAATTTGTCCACGGGAAGTCGCTACAGTTTTTGGGGGGTGACGGCATTAAGTGCCGCACCGGGTGACACCCGACCTCGCTACGCCACTGACCAGCAATAGAACCATCACTAGGCAGAATTTCTAGCTATGTCGCCAAAATATGTGATATTGTACAGGTAGCAGTTTGGGTTGGAATGTTTGTTTATCGGTCTCGTGGTCCTACATCGGTGCTATCATCATTCATGTCACTGCTCACAGTCCAACAAGGCTGACCCCACTGCTGGATAAAATGCTGTGGAAAGAAAAGGTTAACCCTTGGGTCAGACTGTTTCAACATACTGTTTCAACAAAATCACAAATTACTGAACAATTTTGTGTGCGAAAGTAAAAGCTACTGAAAAGATTTCATACAAACCCTTAACACAAGTGGTGAATATCCAAGATTGTTATAATCACAATAATCTTTCTAAATTCATTAAAAGCTGGTCTACAATTAGCGTAAGTTATTGAAAGGAAAGTAACTAAAATGTCCACTAAAAATAGCTGTGTACTGGTCTATTTAAGTATAAACTAAGAATATTACTTGAGGTACTATGGCAACGGACAAATCAACTGCCCCTTAAAGAGAACCTGCAGAGAAAATGGAACTGGATTTGCCGTACACTCAGGAAGCTGTATCCAGCATAACAAGACAAGGCCAAACCTGGAATCAACAAAGGAAAAGAGGCCGGCCAAGAAAGACCTGGAGACGTGACCTTGAAGAAGACAGCAAGACGATTGGATAAACATGAGGACTGTTGGAGAGATTAGCTTATGTCACAGAAGGGGCGTCAGGCAAACCTAACATAAATATTACTCTGTATACAATCATTCGCAGACTTTTAATTTTAGAAAACACCTAAAGTCGTTAATATTTTTTAATGCTAACTTGTTTATGGTTATGTAAATAATGGTGCATTATTATATCTCAAGGAAAAAATGGTATTATATTAGTATTTTTTTGTGCACTGAGGCCAGCCTAGTTGTTATGAGCTTTTTAATGCATCATTTACTATGAAACATCTTCAACCAAAAATATCCTAATATTCAAAAGCTGTTGAGGAAAGAACTTGTGATGGGGGAAAGTGCACCAAATACATAGAACTTGTGATGGGGGAAAGTGCACCAAATACATAGAACTTGTGATGGGGGAAAGTGCACCAAAAAACATAGAACTTGTGATGAAGGAAAGTGCACCAAAAACATAGAACTTGTGATGGGGAAAGTGCACCAAATACATAAACCTTGTGAAGGTGAAAGTGCACCAAATACATAAACCTTGTGACGGGAAAAGTGAATTTAAAAAAAAGAGCGTGATGAAGGAAAGTGCACCAAATACATAGAACTTGTGATGGGGGAAAGTGCACCAAATACATAAAACATGTGTGGGGAAAGTGCACCTAATACATAAACCTTGTGATGGGGGAAAGTGCACCAAAAAAACAGAACTTGTGATGAAGGAAAGTGCACCAAATACATAGAACTTGTGATGTGGGAAAGTGCATCAAAAATAAAGAACTTGTGGCGGGAGAAAGTGCACAAAAAACGCGTAATGAACACAACACAATAACAGGGAGCCGGAAGTTGCATTGTGGGTCAATGTTTTAGTCGGCTTTCGTTATTATTTCTCTGTTGTTGAATTTGTTAAAAGTGAGTGCTCCTTTTAAATTAGAGCCATTTTGATATTAATGAGGTGATAGAAATGCAAGAAGTATCCTATTTCACAGTAGATCTAATTTTAGTCCAAATTAATGTCTTTTTTTTGTTAGTTGTAACTTCCCTTTTGGTTTGTTTACAACAGTTTACGTTCCATTCAGGTTAGAAGTTCGTTTATTCCGTCGACCACTAGATAGGTGCAGTAACTTCACGTCTACTATTTTTTCAGTTAATGGCATTGACCTAATCGTCTGGGAGGGATGCGTATTTTCTTCTAATTATAAGCGACGATGTTGAATAGTATTCGTTGTTGGATATGATATTTTATTTTTTGTAAATACTATACAAAATCGTGTTTTGTTAGTTGAGATAATGAAACTAAATGCCGATACTGTAAACTTCTCTCTGACCGCATCAATGTTACTGATCTTAGCCCTCTCTCTAGCTGTAAAATCTGACCGCAGCAATGTCACTAATCTTAGCCCTATATGTAGCTGTAAATCCTAAAATTACATGCACATACACATGCACATGCACATGCGCATGCACATGCACATACACATACACATGCACATACACATACACATACACATACACATACACATACACATACACATACACATACACATACACATACACATACACATACACATACACATACACATACACATACACATACACATACACATACACATACACATACACATACACATACACATACACATACACATACACATACACATACACATACACATACACATACACATACACATACACATACACATACACATACACATACACATACACATACACATACACATACACATACACATACACATACACATACACATACACATACACATACACATACACATACACATACACATACACATACACATACACATACACATACACATACACATACACATACACATACACATACACATGTATATGTATATATATATATATAATATACTAACAGTCATTTATATACAAAATTCGAAAGCCGTCAAGAACAGACAAAATAATGCAAAATATTTGTTCGCATTTTATAAAGAGCAGGTGGAGCAATTCATGCGAGGTATTTGATTATTATTTTTATACTGTCATCAGCAGATAGACGAATCTATGGGGAATAGGTGGTCATCATTCAAAAGAGGTCAACCGGAAATGGACGAATATATGACGAATATGTGGTCATTATTCGAAAGAAGTCAACAGGAAATGGACCAATCTATAAGGAAAATATCGTCAGCATTCGAAAATTGTCAAAGTGAAATGAAAGATTCAATGGAGAAAATCGTGTCGTTCTTTAAAAGCAGTCAACATGAGATGGATAAATCAGTAAAGAAAATGTGGTCTTCATTTGAACACTGTCTAAAGGAAATGTACGAATCGATGGAAAAAATGACGTCGTTATTTGACAACTGTCGAAAGAATATGTACGAATCAATGGAGAAAATGGGGCCATCATTTGAAAGCAGCCTACCCGTAAGGGATGAATCAATAAACAAAATGTGGTTCTCTATCGAAAACTGTCAATATGAAATGGACGAATGTCTGGGGAAAATGTGGTTATCATTCGAAAACTGTCAAAATGAAATGGACGAATCAATGGAGAAAATAGAGTCATTATTTGAAAACAGTAATCAGGATATGGATGAATGTATGTGGTCAGCATTCGAAAACTGTCAAGAGGAAATGTACGAATCAATGGAGAAAATGGAGTCATTATTTGAAAGCGGTCAAGAGGAAATGGACGAATCAATGGAGAAAGTGGATTCTTCATTTGAAAGCAGTCAGGAAACGGACACATCAATATGCAAGACGGATTCGTCATTTGACAGCAGTCATCAGGAAATGGACGAATCAATGTGCAAAGCGGATTCGTCATTTGAAAGCAGTCAAGAAATGTTCGAATTCGTGGAGGAAATTGAGCCACCATTCGAAATGTCTCAGAGTCCGATGGACGAATGTATGCGAATGACGTCAGATCATATGGATGAGGCGAATAATAAAATTATCCGATGCAGGTCAGAAGCTTTGGGGCATACTCTACCAGCGATCGCAGCCGACGTCCAATCCCAGGAAACAGCCCGACAAGATGACTCTCAAACTGTAAACGATGGTTTGGAGACGCCCCTTACTACAGCCCCAGCCGTGGCATTAACCACACGTAATCGCACCAGTCTTGGGTTCAATTTTTGGCTCACTGTGTGGGTCTTGGCCCTAGTAACAGTTGTTTTGTCCCTCCGCGTGTAAGCTCTACAACTTCAAGTTAAGATACAAAACATCAACCAACTAGTAAATAAACAACTAAAAATGTATTAATGAAAGTTTGCTTTATACAATAAATGAAATGGGTTGACGAACAACACTTTAAAATAATACTGTAAAAAATCAAAATCAGGTATACTAATCCTGAATTCGAAAGGATATCAATCAACCTCCAGAGTTTTTTCAACTAAAGAGTATGAATTTTCAAGTTAAGATACAAAACATCAACCAACTAGTAAATAAACAACTAAAAATGTATTAATGAAAGTTTGCTTTATACAATAAATGAAATGGGTTGACGAACAACACTTTAAAATAATACTGTAAAAAATCAAAATCAGGTATACTAATCCTGAATTCGAAAGGATATCAATCAACCTCCAGAGTTTTTTCAACTAAAGAGTATGAATTTTCATATTCCAAAAAACGGATCATGTATTACCGGTTTTAGAAAAAAATTGAAACGTCGACTTACGTGATTCATTCATAAACAGTATAATATTTTCCTTGTGTTGTGAAATATAGATTCTGCCGGACTTTTCTAGCACTAGCCATATCTTATCAGCTATGTAACAAAAACATTTGACGTACGGATACACAGGCTCGGTTTTGGTGTAAAAATGTCCAGTTTTATGTGAAGTGCTCATAGCTCGACTTGACTGACCAATGTTGGACCATATGTTTACAACATAAACACTGAACACTGAACACTTTGGACTTTAAGTACAAAAACAAAATGAACTCTGGCGGCTGTTGAAATGGTCACTTAAAAAACGAAACAAATTAAAGCAAATTATTTTTCTTACTTTAAATCATTATCCTTGTATGTGAGATAAAAAAGCTGTCAAGAAAGGCTGATATCAAATTGACGTAAGAGTAAAATAATGAGACGTATATCCTTAAAGAAAATAGATTGTGTATGGGAAATCATGTTGAAAGCGGAGAGATTTTAATGAAATAAAACTGCAATGGGGTATAGAATATCTTGTGTTTGTCTAAAGTTGGGTTTGTTTTTCAATGTGTTGATTAGAGTTGAGTGAAATAGTTTTAATGGCAACCCAACTAGTAAAGGAGAAATCAGTCAAATAAGAGATGTTGTTGGGAGGTGTGGGTTGGAAGGTGTGGTTTGAGAGGTGTGGGTTGGGAGGTGTGGGTTGGAAGGTGTGGGTTGGGTGGTGTGGGTTGGAAGGTGCGGGTTGAGAGGTGTGGGTTGGAAGGTGTGGGTTGGAAGGTGTGGGTTGGAAGGTGTGGGTTGGAAGGTGTGGGTTGGAAGGTGTGGGCTGAAAGGTGTGGGCTGGAAGGTGTGGGCTGAAAGGTGTGGGTTGGAAGGTGTGGGTTGGAAGGTGTGGGTTGGAAGGTGTGGGTTGGAAGGTGTGGGTTGGAAGGTGTGGGTTGAAAGGTGTGGGTTGGAAGGTGTGGGTTGGAAGGTGTGGGTTGGAAGGTGTGGGTTGAGAGGTGTGGGTTGGAAGGTGCGGGTTGGGAGGTGTGGGTTGGAAGGTGTGGGTTGGAAGGTGTGGGTTTAGAGGTGTGGGTTGGGAGGTGTGGGTTGAGAGGTGTGGGTTGGAAGGTGTGGGTTGGGAGGTGTGGGTTGGAAGGTGTGGGTTGAAAGATGTGGGTTGAGAGGTGTGGGTTGGAAGGTGTGGGTTGGAAGGTGCGGGTTGAGAGGTGTGGGTTGGAAGGTGTGGGTTGGAAGGTGTGAGTTGGAAGGTGTGGGTTGGAAGGTGCGGGTTGAGAGGTGTGGGTTGGAAGGTGTGGGTTGGAAGGTGCGGGTTGAGAGGTGTAGGTTGGAAGGTGCGGGTTGGGAGGTATGGGTTGGAAGGTGTGGGTTGAGAGGTATGGGTTGGAAGGTGTGGGCTGAAAGGTGTGGGTTGAGAGGTGTGGGTTGGAAGGTGTGGGTTAGAAGGTGTGGGTTGGAAGGTGTGGGTTGGGTGGTGTGGGTTGGAAGGTGTGGGTTGGGAGGTGTGGGTTGGAAGGTGTGGGTTGGAAGGTGTGGGTTGGAAGGTGTGGGTTGGAAGGTGTGGGTTGGAAGGTGTGGGTTGGAAGGTGTGGGTTGGAAGGTGTGGGTTGGAAGGTGTGGGTTGGAAGGTGTGGGTTGGAAGGTGTGGGTTGGAAGGTGTGGGTTGGAAGGTGTGGGTTGGAAGGTGTGGGTTGGAAGGTGTGGGTTGGAAGGTGTGGGTTGGAAGGTGTGGGTTGGAAGGTGTGGGTTGGAAGGTGCTTGTCGGGAGGTAGGGTACGAGACTACTGACACTATTTGGATGGATGACGGCAAAGTCAAATGTTACATTTACTGACAAAATAGAGTTTCACTCAGCTAGCCTTTCAGCTAAAGATGGATACGTGGCTCAACATTAACTTGAAATCAGTGTAAATGAACATACGTGACGTTATTATTTAACTGACGTTTTAAGCAATGTTAATCACTCATCGTCTTTTCCCGTTTCTACCAAAGATATATTGGGCAGATGAAGTAGAGTTCATCTGTTTCAATGAACTCGGCATACAAGGGAATGGTGTTGTCAGCACTTTGCCCAGTCGTATGTTTCCGTTACAGGAGTCAGGTACTTATCAGAGCTGAGTTGGCTCAGTGACTTCCTACAGACTGGAGCCTTGTATTCAACTTTACTAGCGCAATAATATGTTTAAACATACGCATTTCCTTAATGATGAAGTTTTTCCCGCTGTAATATGTTTCAATGTGATCTCACTTTTTTAAATCAATACGTATTTCAAAATAAAGCTAATCATGAAATTTATTTCGTCATAACAAATAAGCTTTTGTAAATTTAATACCTCAAAAGTTCAAAACACTGCTAATAAAATAATTACTGAAAGTTTAATGAACAGAGCAGTGGTTAGTACGCAATTAATGGAAGCTTACCATGGGTGATTACACTCATTATTTTAATCCTCGAATTATTATTTTTTTAGAGTAATTGTTTAGACTATTAGTATGTCTGGGTATTTTATAATTGTAACAGTCTAGCTCTTTGTGTTTGGGCTTTGATATTTATTGATTTGTAATTCGTTTCATGTTATTAACTTTTTTTTTTTACATAAAAGTTTTCTTGTTTTCACAAATTTTTCCCTGAAAATGCCGTTTAGTTTTTTACCAAGTATTTTTTAATTTTCAATCAATTTTAAGTTTTAATTTTTAATTTTTAATAGACGTGTAAGGTAATTATCAGCGACGTCGAGATCAGAACTTGTTTTTAAAATAGATGTAAAATTTGTTTGGCGGTGATAAACTTACATCATTACTAAAGGCGTCGCGTGCTAGTTGTTTGAAGTTTGGATTATAGCGAGACCATTGGAGTCAGTGAAACCATGAGTTTGATCGCTAGTGTAGGGAACATGTCCAGGTTACATGACGGTCCTATCATTGACGACGATTTATACGTCATCCTCGTTGACATCAGCGCCAACAGCCTAACTGTCCTGGTGTCTTTGTTTGGGATGTTGACCAATGGGGTCAATATTTTGATTTTCTTGCGTCAAGGCTTCAGTGAGCAGGTCACCATCACTCTACTGGCCCTGGCCGTGTCTGACATGATGGCACTGATGGTCAACTCGATCCCAAATCTCGTGTTTTTTATAGCCTTAAAACTCTTCGGCGTCGCTTTATTTTCTGATGAGATCACATACGTAACGACAGGGACCCTGCATTTGGCTTTTGTCAGAGTAACGGGTTGGCTGACGGCGTTTATAACATTTGAGCGTTGTCTTTGTGTGACCCTGCCTCTACACGTCAGGTCAGCGGTCACCAAAAGACGTGTCACTTTTGTCGTCATAGCGATTTATATTTTCAGTTTCTCGTGTCTGGCACCGACCTACTACACGACTTACTACAACTGGAGTTACCTCCCTCACATGAACAGCAGTTATCTAATCCTGATGGACACAGATCACCGTGTTGTCCTCGATCACATGAGCTTCATCATCGGGAATGTTTTCCCAGCTATCGCGTCTTTCTCTATAGTCCTCCTCAGCACCGTCTTTCTATCTATCGGGCTCATCAGCTCGAAAACATTTCACAAACATCACACCAAACAGCTCTCCGTTGCTACAGATAAGTTTCAGCGGATTACTAGAAAAAAGATTAAGATAATTAAACTGACGTCACTCTTGGCTTTAATCTTCATCGTCACCTTTACCCCGACTATAATCTTCACCGTCTGGATTGCATGTGATCCAGGCTTCAGCGCCACGGGATTCAACAGTAACTTCTTCAAAGTGGCCTTTTCTTTTTCTTTCTTGATGGAATCGCTCAACTCCAGCCTGCATGTGTTTCCTTACTATAGCATGAGCACCAACTACAGAACCAGGTTCAAACCCAGTTTTTCATGCTTCTTTACTAATACATGAGCAGTGGCGGCGCAAGGTAGGGTGTTACCCACTTCCCGCACCTAAACTATATATATATATATATATATATATATATATATATATATATATATATATATATATATATATATATAAACTATATATATATATATATATATATATATATATATATATATATATATATATATATATATATACATATATGCATGTTTTTATGTATATGCATATACATTCAACTAATAAAATCTTGATGTAATAAGCTATACAAAATAAGGGAATACATTTTGCATAAATGCACCACCCTCCACCCCCTGATACCCTTTCATCCCCTCACCACCCTCTACCACCTCACCACACCCCACACCCCACTCCCTCATCAACCTCCACCCCCACACCACCCTCCACTCCCTCACCACCCCCTTACCACCCTCAACTCCCTCACCACCCTCCACCCCTTCACAATACTCCACTCCCTCATCAACCTCCACCCCCACACCACCCTCCACCCCCTGATACCCTTTCACCCCCTCACCACCTTTCACCCCCACACAACCCTCCACCCCCTCACCACCCTCCACCCCCTCCCACCCCCGCCACCTACTGTTCTGAAGAAAAACGGCAAGTTGGAAGATCAGTACAAGTCACACAAGGTCCAGGAAGAAAATAGTCGCGTGTTCTGCCATGGGCTCTGGTCAGTTATCTGCCTGTTTGTAAGGCTACTATGGCATATGCCATGCCATGCACTATCCCAGTGCCTGTTGAACTGGAATCCGCAGGGGCAGCTCATGTCTGTGGCCTACACTGGGAGTGGCTATCATGCTAGAACTTTATCCTGAAGTGTGTATCTCTCTAGCTAATAATGTATGCTTTTATGTATTCTTTAAAATAAAACAATTTTTAATGTGTTTCTTCTAAATAAAACTCCAACTGTTTTTAACTAGTACCAATAAACAATATTAGTAATATAATTTTTGAGTTATTTTTTAAGTTGTTTGTTTCAGTATAGGTTTTACTGTTTTTTGTTTGTTTTCTGGTTCTTGTTTTGTTTTTAATTTATTTCCCAGTAGAGTTGAGTCAGATGAACCTAGTATAGATACAGTCTGCAGCTGTTGTTGCTTCGTTTTAAAACACGCTAGATCTAGCGGACACTTAAAAGAATATATTTTCTATATAAGTTGTTTTTCGTTCGGGGAGGGGGGGGGCTGTGGATACATCTAGGTGGACGTCTACGGATCTCAATCACATTCCTATCTATTGGAATATTATTGTAACTATTGAATTATACACCACCTTCAGCATGTAAAAGTGTAAGAATGAATGGGAAAACCGCACCAAAACGCACCATGCGTTTGTTTACAAACCGCGTTCAGATTGTTGACGTAAGACAGCAACCTAATTTTCTACAAGGTAATCAATTAATTATCTTATGTTAATTATCTTATAAAATGTATCTTATTTGGTTTTTGTGTAGTTTAAATGTTTTGATTTAATCATTATAAAGCAATGTTTTAACGAATATTGTAATAATGTAATAATTCGTAGATCTAGATCTATGCTGTTTTAATCTCTTTGTAAAGATATCAGAATTCTTTTTCAATGGCCATTTTTTTTTGCGCCGCGATAACATTTGCTATCTTAATATAGATCTAGATTCTAGATCTACTTGTACTCATTGATAGTAATAAGACGAGTTGTGAAGTAGAGTTTTAAACTTTACTTTTAAAACTAGAACAATAATGTTTACAAGGAAATTGTGTTGAGTATTATTTTTATCATAAACATTGGCTTATTATTGTTACGTATATTAATTATATAAACATAGGGCATACTTTTATGTGAATTTCCCTTTTTTATAAGTGACACGTATCGAGGCAGGATTCATTGTTAGCCCTAGCCCTAGCCCTAGCCCTAACCCTAGCCTTAGCCCTAGCCTTAATCCTAACCCTAACCCTAACCCTTATCTGGCTACAATAGGTGTTTTATGATTTGGGGAGAGGGAGAAGAAATAAATTTACCCATATGCTAATCCTACGTGATATTCGTTTAACCTAGATCTATATCCTAAACATTTTTTGTCTTTAAAAAATAAGCTGGTTGTTTTCAAACATCTCATATAATTGTTTTCTATGAATACTATGATGCTAAATAAAAATGTAAACAATGTTTTCTTACTCACCTGGTAGTATTATATATATATATATATATATATATATATATATATATATATATATATATATATATATATATATATATATATATATATATATATACTTTTTTCTATATATAATAGATTTGGAAGGTTGCTATCTGTTGACAGTTTACGCAAGATGGCGTCATATTTATCAATGGCAAAAGAAAACGCCAGCCGTAATGGATCAAACGCCATCGTCCACAGAGAATCAGGTAGCTGCAACACCTGTCGCTTCAAAGGCACTGGAACTAATAACACCATTTATTTCAGTGGATCGGGAAGTTGTAATGACGTTAAAGTCTATGGCTCAGGGAGTGGTAACACCATCTACATCAACTGCTACGGGAGCTGCAACGACATCTACATCAAAGGGACGTGTCAAGACTGCACCATCACTGTCAATGTCAGGGGAAGTTGTCATGACATCTGCGCCAACGTCAGCGGAAAAGGTAACAACATCGTTGTCAACAGCAACGGCAGTTGTAACGACACGGTGGTCACCGCCGGCGGAAACGCCAACAACACCTACATCACCAGCAAAGGCAGCTGCAACGACACCGTGATTAATGCTTTAGGGAGTGCGAACAACACCTTAATCACCGCCGGGGGGAGTTGCAATGATACCAGGATCAACGCCGCGGGGAATGCCAACAAAACTCTTATCAGCGCGCGGGGAAGCTGTAACGACACCGTGATCAAAGCCGGGGGGAATTCCAACAAAACCATCATCGCCACCAGCGGATCATGCAATGACACCATGATCAAGGGGATAGGGAGCCAGAACACGACAGGAAACGGCAACACAGGAAATGGCAGCAGTCGACAAGACACGACAGCCACAAACGGCTCCAGAAAAAGGTACGTGGTTTCTGTCTTCTGTGTCGCGTTGCTGGATCTGAACTCTATGGTTACCTGTAACTGGGGAGATACGAGATGACCTGTTTAAGGCAAGTCTCTTTAAGGTGGGTGAGATATTTCAAAGGGAGAGTCAAACTGAATGTGTGTGTGTGGAAATGTGTGTGGTGTCATGCTTGTGTGTGACGAGATGTGTGTGTTTAAGTATGTTAGTAGTAAGGTCACAGGGACTCAAGGTGACTCAAGGTTTCAAACTAGAAACATATACTTTTATTTTAGAAATGTACAAGGGTATAATTTGGGTCAGGTGTTGGTCTAGATTTAAATTTAGAACGAGGTTTAGAGTTGTACTTAGATCTATCATTAATATTAGGGTTGGGGTTTAGAGTTGAGGATTAGAGTAAGACCAAAATATGTGGGTGTATAGAAGTTGTTTTCCTCCAAGCACTTAAATCGTTTTAACCTTGGTTTAAGTTTGACTTGAACTCACTTTCCAATCTTGGGCAAGCTAGGCTAGAACCACGAGTCCCTCTATTTTAAGGTAACACTAACACTGCTGTCGTTTACAGTGTTTGGGTAAAAATGTCCTAATATTGCGAACTTCACTAAAACGAACAAGCTAATTCGACACTTAATTCATTCAACCCTTAGGCGTTGTTTACATTTTCAAAATGCCAACGTTTTGCTTTCTACAATTGACACGTTTGTGTATATAATTTAGAGCATGATAAATTTAACACTTACGGACTTATTTGCCCAGACTCATAAGACTAATCAGAAACGGCACCAATGTTTAAAGGAGAAATAGCATTCCCAGCAATGATTTTTTAGGAGAGAGACGGTACCCATATTTGAAAAGTATTGACCAGTGCTATTGACCATACGTTGTTTATTTGTTCCTGATTCTACTTGAACTCATCAAAATAAGTTTGTTAAAAAAGATTTCATAAAACGTGTCGTTGAAGAATCAAGTGTATTTTACATACTTGATATTTTAGACCGAAGATTTTGAAACCCAAATAATTCAAACTTGACTAAAGTATCTTAAAGTTTATCGTCTTGATTTGGTTATTTAATTTTTTGTTTGTTTGATAAAGTGGTCAAGATTTAGCGTTATGTAATATTTCGTATTATAATAGTTCACACAGTAATTATAAATCTGTATCAGTACTTACAAACCGATGATGAATACTGTGATACTACAGCGAACATTGCAAGGCAAACTGATGCTGTAAATTAATTGTCTAAGCTTAAACAAAATGTAATCATAATGGTTACTTTTGTATATTATGAGTGTGAGATTGTTTCATTGTTGGTTGCAACCATTCTTGTTTTGTTTAATCGAGATTAATTAAATCTCAAGTATGTCTGCTAATCACATTAAGGTGACAGATTACAAGCCCAGATTTTATCGTTGTCTGGTGTCGTGTATGTAATAGTTTTTGTGATCCAACAAAACACGTATCCTTAAAATTATTAAAAATTACGTTAGAAAGATAAATATTTTCAATAAAATTCAGGCTTTTGAACTAAATAGCAACTTAAATGTCAATAAGGTAAACATTGTCATACAATGTGTCATTTGTCATATACTCCCAACAAAAGACATGTCATTTGTTATTTTCTACCCATCAGATGACTTGTCTACCTTCGTTATTTACCACCAGCGAAACAATGTCATTTGACATTTACTGCCAAAAAACACTTGTTTATTTTAGAGGTTAACATAATATCACAAATGTATAATTCACTTTATAGAAAATCTATTACCTATACCATCTAATTAATTACGTCCCCCCCCACCCACCCCCTCCCCCTGTACATATCTCCCCAACCAAACAGATCACTCGCAGAGCTGGAGTGGAAGGACACCAGTGAGGGGTCAAAGCGGACACGGCAAGACTGACCTGACAGATAGAAGCTTCTAGATGCTGCAGTAGAGTCAAGGCGTGCAAACATTCATCCCGTTCATTTAGACAGACAGATTGGTAGGAAGGTCGTCTTAGAGATTTAAACATGTCGCATGCTCATTGTAAAATTGTATTGCTCCAAATAACATGTTATGTCTCTACATAATGCTGAGGGGATACATTTTAGCCATGAAAAGAAATAAAATAAACAGATGCGTACATTTGGTATTTTTATTTTAAAGAAAAAAGATAGCTGTGTGATTACAAGTCACTAATGTAGTGTAGTTGGCCTGGAGCAATCATTGTACAACGGTAAGGACAAGGATAGTTGCATACAACGACTAGACGACGACATTTACAACTTATGAATTCATTTACACACACAACATTCTTTTTAATTCACGTTTATCTCAATTTAATAAGGAAAAATGTGCAAATAAATCATTTTATAATATATTCATACGATGCGTGTATTTATTTTATCAATTTTTTCATACGTTTAGCAAGATAGAAAGTTATTTTGAACGACTTTTTAAGTACCATGTTGCTTTAAGGTGGACACTGGGCATGTGTTCTACATCTCCACCATGAATTGTATAATGTAAGAAAAGGAAAGCTATCCTTTCAAACATAGTGGCCTATGTGGCAGGTAAAGTAGAGTTCGCATATGACTGTAATCTCGGCAAATGAAGGATTATTGGCAGTATTAGGCCCAACTAACTTTATTTCGCTGACCCTAAGATGAGTCATGTAATAATCAACGCTATGTTATGACGTCTTAGGAACCCCACCCCCGGATCCGAACACCATAATGTTGCGGAAGCTGTCGTGCGCTATACTACTCGAGCACGCAGTCTTTATGCTTATTCTGGAATCAATGTGTTGTGGGGGAGTGGTCGGAAGAAGAAAACGTAGTGGAATGGGGGAGGGTTTTGTCAAAAACACAGATTTACATTTCTAATATTATCATCTACAAGTATATTTTAAGATGCTGGTATCTTTGTATGTTTTTCAAGCTGTTATTTTAACTCTGCATGTATGTCTGTCAATGTGGGTAGAATGTTGAGATACAAAATATTTTAGACACTTAAAAAAATCAATGGGTCGTAAACTAGAGCCGTGAGGCAAGCTCGACAATATCATTTTATAGCTTAAGCTTGGACATGCAGACACACACACACACACACACACATATATATATATATATATATATATATATATATATATATATATATATATATATATATATATATATATATATATATATATATATATATAAAGTTATATTAAGATCATAGATACTAGTTTAAAAACTCTGAATTCAATCCATACCTCTACTTCGAGAATCCAAACAGTTTAATGGAATTAATGGATCATTTCTTTACATATGCGATTTGTTAAAATAATATAAAACAAAATCGTGAATGAGAACAAGGTTTTTATAAGCTATGTACTAAAGACAAGAAAATAAAATGAATTTATAAAATAAAGGCCTATTAATATACTGCTGTTTTTATAACTTTTAATAACTGCGTATGTCCCTATTCAAATATTATAAATTAGTGTATTCTATTATTAAGATATATTAATAGTATTTACTTCTAGTTATATTTATGTACTGTCGTATATAGACTTATTATATTAATCGGTTCTTAACTTAAATTTTTGTGCCTATTTATATTTTAAAATAAACAATAATCATTTGAAATATTTAATACACGTTAAAGAGAGCCATGTTTTCCCTAATCTTTAAATTTTAATGTGAATAAAAGTTTTTATCGGGAAAAAGTGCAACAAGACCGCATAGTGAACATGATGTCACAAACCTTGCTGTAGTTTATTAGGGTTGGGGGGAATTTTCAAGTCCAAAGTTTCTTTTCCTGAAGCTGAATTAACATAAAGTAAGCGCTGTTTTCTAATAAAATCACCGTGATATTATTTGTGTAATTGGGAATTTAGGTCTAAATGCATGATATTTAAAATGCGTTCTTCACTTAATTAACAAAAAACATAGTTAATAAGATCTCGACTCTAGTTAAAACGGCGTTCTACTTTTACAATGGCATTTGTTTAAGCAATTTCCGGGTTTGTTTACGTATATCCAAGGCATGCCGGAAGTACGGCTTGAATGGACCCAATCGAGAATAGTCGCAGAACTTTTCGAAAGGCCCATAGAATATTTTAAAAATCAAGTACGATGTTATTTAAATACATATAGTTATGCAAATCTGAGTGTTTTGATTTTTGTTGGACTTTACTAAAGATTGGATATATTTCGTGTTTTTAGTTATTTCAGCAATTATACAAACTTTATAAAGAAAATCGAGAAACAATTGTTTGATTATAGATCTATATATCACATAATTTTTTTTAAAGTCTAAACTAGGTATTGTGATTAAAAATTAATTTTACTTACAACTGTATTGGAAATGTTTCGAGTTTAAAATTACCATGAGTTTTTTATGAGGTGGAGTTATTCAGAAAATCAATCACGAGTTCTAGCACAGCCAATCAATGTTGTTGTTTTTTTACAAAAATGAAACTTCAGGTTTTAAATAGATAAAATGAAATATAACCCTAACCGTAACAAGTTATTTTCAAGGGTTGCATCTTTTATAACAAATATTAAACTTCTGAATTATTTTCAGACACGTTTTTTTACGGTCGCTTTGATTACAAAATATAATAAAACATTTTTATCCATGTCAACACTAACGACCCATGAGACTGGTTTTGTCATGGTCGAAGTCGGAGCTGCTCCTAATGATCGCGTAAAGAAACATCGGATTTTGTATTAGAAAAACAAACGCTGACAACAACACACTGAATCGTTTTAATTTTGAGTGTTTATAAAATACAAAGCGTGGGACAGTTTCTTTGTGAACGGTGTGTATCAGGATTAAATGTAGGGTTCGCATAGATTTTAAGTCAGACACCCATCACAGGTCGGTAGGACTAAGATCACCCTACATCAGTGGCGTAGCTAGGTCGGGTGTCATCTTGTGCGGCACCTTATGGTGTCACCCCCCATCCACCTTTTTTCCCGTAAATTTTGCAGTTGGTGTTACACTCCCCCACCCCTGCTTTAATGCGTTCACATTTAATACTATGTTAAAACAGCTAGTTGTATCATTGTTTTCTCTGGAGTTTGAATGTTAATGTCATGGTGTTCTTAAACTCTAACCATTCGTCGAACTGGTGAAAAACACTTATTCTATTTATCTTGCAATTTTTTTTGTCTTTGTGTCACCCCCCCCCCCCAATGGTGTCACCCGGCGCGGTCTGCATCCCCCCCTCCCCCGCCTCACGACGCCTCTGCCCAACACTATCAATTACGGTAATCGACCTCGAGAATTCCCGTGTTATAGGTCTACAGTTTTCAACCACTCCCCCCCCCCCCCTAGAATTCGAACTGACCAAATTTCCATGGTCATAGATTAGGATGAACTCTACTTCACCGCCTTAGTGACCTATGAGTGTAAAAAAAAAAGAACTTAATGTCTTTGTGGTTTAGCTCGTAGAGTCTATATAACAAATTTCTAGTTCAATAGTCAGTAAAAGACCTTTAAAGTAAACAAAGCCTGGCCAGTGTTTCTGTTTTAGACAACTTTCACCCCCCCCCCCCCCCACAAATCGAACTGACCAAATTAGTCCTTAATATGTCAAGGTCATAGATTAAAATAAACTCTACTTCATCTCCTTACTGACCTCTTTGTTTAAAAGAATACCTTAATTTCTTTGTGGTTTTGTTCGTATAGTCTATTTAACAGTCTTTTAAACATTAGACTATTTAACAAATTTCTAGTTCAATAGACAGTCAGTAAAAGACGTTTAATAAAGTAAACAAAGCCTGGCCAGTGTTTCTGTTTTAGACCACCTGAATTGTTTCCCCTCAGATTCTAGAAGATTCCTGTGTTTAGTGTGACAGTCAATATCTTGGTCCACTTACCGAAGTCCCACAACCCGTTGCAGGTACCTGAAAACATGCAGACTTCAAAACGAACCAAACCAACCAAGAAAGGTGAGCTTGATTTAAATATTCTAGCTTATGGCGTATACCAGCTGACTAGGTACGAAAATCTGCAAAGCAGCAAGTTGCTTGGTTACGGAGGTCCTACCCCGCCACTAAATAGCAGATATCCCGGACAAGCGAGCTTCAGCATCCCTGGTGTCTCTAAACAAAGACTTGAACTTTCGTGCAATCTAACACCCCACTACGTCCCTGCCACATACTATATTTGTGTAAAACTTATTTATTGTTGATATAAAGTGGATTTTTTTTGTGCACACTTCGTTCAGTCCCTAATAAAAGAAATAATACTCTTATTAAGTAAGTGTAAGTGTAAGTGTAAGTGAAAGTGTAAGTGTAAGTGTGAGTGTGAGTGTGAGTGTGAGTGTGAGTGTGAGTGTGAGTGTGAGTGTGAGTGTGAGTGTGAGTGTGAGTGTGAGTGTGAGTGTGAGTGTGAGTGTGAGTGTGAGTGTGAGTGTGAGTGTATGTGTGAGTGTGAGTGTGAGTGTGAGTGTGAGTGTGAGTGTGAGTGTGAGTGTGAGTGTGAGTGTGAGTGTGAGTGTAAGTGTAAGTGTAAGTGCAAGTGCAAGTGCAAGTGCAAGTGCAAGTGTAAGTGTAAGTGCAAGTGTAAGTGTACGTGTACGTGCATGAGCATGTATAGGTGCAGGTGCAGATGTACGTGTAGGCGTTGGCGTAGGCGTAGGCGTATTCGTAGGCGTATGCACAGGTGCAGGTGCAGGTGCAAGAGTACATGTACGAGTATAACAGAACATACTGCTTCAAATGTTAATGTTTATAAATAACTTTCAGCCACACGTAAAATGAAGACATCTTTGGATAAACGCATGCAGCAGATGGAAGACTTGGTAGAAAAGACTCTACGACAAATGGAAAACCTAATGCAAGAAGTGGACGCCATCTATCAAGACTTGGCCCCAGCGCCACAAGTCAACTCCAAAGCCCAGTTACCAGCTGCCAGACCTCCTGCATGCACCAGCATACCAATCAACATCAGCATCATTAACGACAGAAACACCGCCTGCTCCAGTGACTTCTATCCGGTGTACACGCTTGCAGATGTTTTTGCTATAGCATTGATGTTGTTCAGCATGATAGCGGGCCTGGTTATGATGTTACAAGCGCTTAATAACTTGTAAATATCATATTTGGTTCAGATAGCACTCACATTGTAAACATTATAACAAAACAAGGATTATCTCCACCCCCACCCCCCACCCCAACGTGTAGTGTACCATAAAGGTCAGGATTTTCACAACCTACACGGTTTAAATAAGATGAACACTACCGGATTAGCACTGATAATCCTGAATGCCGTAAGTTACACCAGTGAGCCTTATGACGCCACTGCAACTAAATTTTAATATAAACACATAAACAACCTTTCTGGTGTTTTAACAGGGGTATACAAAAAGAATTTTTCTTGTGTTTAAAACTAAGGCATCCTCTACACGTAACTAGCTGTCCAGAAAGATAAGTTAATTGTAATCTGCTGAAAACTAGATTGCTGTACTCTAGTGAAATAATTTGTAAAAACCAATTTCTAGTTAGGTAATTATCGAAAGTTTTGGGGAGTGATGCTGAAGTAGTAATACATCTTTTAACAAAAATGTCTTTGGGGTTCAGAAACGAATTACTAAAGGAAAAACTGTGTCTCCCAAACAAGTTCATTAAATAAAAACTATTTCTCCCAAACAAATTCTCTAAGTAAAAACTGTTTCTCCCAAACAAGTTAACTAAATAAAAACTGTTTCTCCCAAACAAGTTCACTAATTAAAAACTGTTTCTCCCAAAGTTGACTAAGTAAAAACTGTTACTCCCAAAGTTCACTAAGTAAAACTGTTTCTCAAAAAGTTCACTAAGTAAAAACTGTTTCTCCCAAACAAGTTCACTAAGAAAAAACTGTTTCTCCCAAACAAGTTCACTAAGAAAAAACCTTTTCTCCCAAACAAGTTTACTAAATAAAAACTGTTTCTCCCTATGACTAACTGTTGATTCAGCAATAAAAAGTAAAAACTCGAAATTTGCAGGGTCTTTTTTCGAGTTCTATTTAAATCTTGTTTAATTATTGTTTAGATTTTCTGTTGATTTCATGCTGATTAATGCTTAATGAAGTAGTCTGAGTGATGTTCAAGTCAATGTTGTGTAGGTTCATTCAGTAGTGTCAGGAATATAATAGGGCGGGGAGGTTAGGGAGGACACGGGTCTGTTCGTATGTGGGCAAACTACATCAGAAAACGGGGTTACGGTTAGAGATAGGGTTAGTGTTAGGGTTAGGGTTAGAGTTACGGTTAGAGATAGGGTTAGTGTTAGAGTAAGGGTTAGTGTTAGGGTTAGGGTTAGGGTTACGGTTAGAGTTAGGGTTATAGTTATAGTTATAGTTAGGGGTAGTGGTAGTGGTAGTTATAGGGTTAAGGTAAGGGTAACGAATCCCATCACAAACATATACGCATACATCGAACCCTTCTTAATAGTATGTCAACACTGACAAAAATCCGATAGTGAATCATATGAGTCGGGTGTGTGTCTTAACCTACGCCTAAGCCCTGAGACTGACTCGCCAAACCCCTGGGGCTCGATCGAACCCAGGTTAAGAACCACTGCTCTAAACTGTTCTAATGTCTTCGTTATTCTTCGTTTCGGCTTCCATAATCACTATGTCATATTGCGTTGTCATCGAGTCTTCACATGTGAAAAGTTTTAAGAAATTGGTCCGGTAGAAGTGATTGACTGTGTCCGGTCAAAATCGTGTAAACGTGACAATCTTAAGTTTTCTATTCTTGTCATTTAGATAAGTACAGTAGCCTTCACAGATTCTAGTCTACCCAAGATGTGAAAATCGCACCAAATCGCACCAAATGGCACCGTTAGCGCGTCTTGAAGCTGATTTCAACTTGTTGACGTAAGGGAGCAACCAGTTGTTTCTACAAGGTAATGGCTTCATCTTCTAGATAAGTAGATTCTTTGGTTTTAGTATTTGTTTCTACAAGGTAATGGATTCATCTTCTAGATAAGAAGGTTCTTTGGTTTTAGTATTAAATTGTTTGTACAAGGCAATGGATTCATCTTCTAGATAAGTAGGTTATTTGGTTTTAGTATTTGTTTGTAGATAAGTAGATCTAGATTTAGGTTATTTCGTTTTAGTATCGTTTAAGTAAAGTGTTTCAACTTAAATTTTAAGAGAGATTTTTAACGAAATATGCCTTTCCTTTTCAGTTTAAATAGCTAAAATGAAAACATGTTAAAAATTAAAATTAAATACATGTTCTTGATTGGATAGAAAAGCGTGATTAAATGTAGCAGAAACTAGATTCTAGATCTAGATCTAGATTCTCTCTCATGGTCAGACTATTGGCTATTGACTAGGCTCATAACGTAAACTAAAACTTTTTAAAAATCGTACTAAATTAAACTATAGTTGAAGTTTTAGAAATTAGTTATTGGAATATTTTGAAATACAGAATTAAATAGGCTTTAACTTCTGAAACCAGTTTTGTTCGGACTGCTTGAACATCATTAACCATAGGCATCCAGTCCTAAGCTCTAAGTTAAGCTCTGATCTGCACTAACCCTAATCCTATCCTGACCCTAACACAAATCCACTCCAAACATCGATAACAAATTGTGCCGTCTAGTTTATGTATCAGTGTGCACTGTATATAAGAAAAATCAAAATATTTTTACATTACATTTACATTTTTACATTACTCTGCCGAATATCTATATGTAACCCTAATTTATATTTAAATAAAATGCATCACATTTTTAAAAAAAAATAGTTTTAACCCTAATTATATAATCTCCCAATTTCTATAACTCGGTAAAGAACCTCTTAGCCATCACAACAAATGGAGACGATGGCTCGAAAGGATAAGCCTACAAGTCTGGATCATGTCATTTTCACTGATAGGATGGTTTAATAAAACAGCTGTTTGTTTTCTGCTAGTAGAAAGTTTCATTATATATTTAATAAAAACTACAAATTTTATTGCTCAATATATAATCATATATATATATAATATTTTAGATTACTGTGGTGGAACATTTGCTATCAACTCTACAGAGATGAAAATACGAAATATAACAACGGAACAAGATGTGGCCCCACCACACTTAACAACGGCACCACCAGGAGTATCGAACGCATCAGATGTGACACAACCACCTATGTCTACTGGTCTTACAACAGTACTGCTAGCGTCTTCTGCACTTAAAGCAGCACCACCACCAGTAGCACTGAAAACTACAGCACCACCACCCATGTCAACAGCACTGAAAAATACGGCACCGCAACCCATGTCCACAGCGCTGAAAGCTACAGCACCACCGGCCATGTCAACAGCACTGAAAAATACGGCACCACCACCCATGTCAACAGCACTGAAAAATACGGCACCACTTCCCATGTCCATAGCACTTTCATCGGCGACGCCGCTCCAAATGCCAGCAACACAACAAAATGCCAATACAGTTAAGACCGTCGCCGGGAAGAACACCATAGTTCACCGGGAAACCGGAAATTTCAACACCACCTGCTTCAAAGGCACGGGAACGAACAACACCATCTACTTAAGCGGCAGTGGTAACTTCAACAAAGTGATAGTCGACGGCTCTGGGAGCGGCAACACCATTTATATCCGCTGCAGCGGGAACTTCAACTACATTTTTATCAGCGGCTCAAAGAGTAATTGCAAAATTGAAATCAATGCTTCCGGGAATTTTGAAAACATTTACGATAACGGCAACGGCGATGTGAACAACACCCTCATCAACAGCTGTGGTAATTTCAACACCACCATGATCAGTGGCACGGGATGTGGTAGCAACACTTACGTCAGTGGAACCGGAAATTTCAATAAAACTGTTATTAAGGGCGTCGGAAATTCCAGCAATACATTGGTGAGCAACGCGGGAAATTTCTCCAGCACACGTATTGAAGGCGTACGACACGACGACGAAGAGTCTACCGGAGACAGTAGAAAGAGGTATGTTTATAATTTCTTGTGTGTCTCATTAAAAAGATCCCTTTCAAACCTGACGGTTTATGGGGCAAGTGAGGTAGAGTTCACTTGTTTCGGTGACCTCGGCATATGAAGAGATAGTGTGGTCAGCACTATGCCCAGCCGCTTTACTTTCCCTAACGTGAGTTAGGTACCCATCAGAGCTGGGTAGACTCAGGGATTCGAACTCGAGACCTACCGCTATGCCACTCCGTGTGTCTCATTGTTCGCTCTATAACCTAGTGTTGGGATTTCGTAGTTGGGATATGCTAACTTATCCCAGTCTAACCCGAATGTCAGTTAAATAGTCATTCTAAATTATTTTGTTATGGAAAATTAACATCATTACAACATAAGGTCATGGGGTCTAGTGCTGATTAAAAGAACTAATTAGCAAGCCACGCGGGTGACAACATTAGCATCAAATATTAAAAGTTCTATGTGTAAAATTGTGTGTATTAGTCAAGCATAGCCTATACTTCTTATGTAGAGAATTTTTTAAAATTAAAACATTAAAGATTTATAATGTGTCGCGATAAACAAAAGTGGCATTTATAAAATCGTTTTAACCTGTCATTTTTTCTGATACTGACAACAAAAGACTTTTAATTTGTAAGATACAGCTGATAAAAGGCTTGTCATTTGTAAAATACCGCTGACAAAAGACTTGTTATTTGTAAGATACCGCTGACAAAAGACTTGTTATTTGTAAGATACCGCTGACAAAATCCTTGATGCTGCCAATAATATACTTGTTATTTTTCTGATGAACCTCGCCTCCCAATCATGCCCAAGGCACATGGGGCAGAATAAGCTGATTCTATTTGTTTCAATGACCTCGGCATACCTAGAGATAGTGTGAGCACTATGCCCAGCCGCCTTAGTTTCCCTAACGTGAGTCAGGAACCAATCAGAGCTGGGTGCTCTCAGGGTCGTACTACAAACATGAGCCGGGGATCTGAACTCAAGACTTTTGGGTTAGCAATCGTAAGCTTTACCCTTCAACCACACCGTCCCTAGATTTCCCAAACAAATTATATTTGATTTTTCAGATGTAAACAGAGTACTACAAAGTACATAATCCGATTTTCTCAAAATGTTTACCTATACCATTTTTAACTCCCCCCCCCCCCTGTGCTAATGTCCCAAACAAGCAGATTACTCTCAAATCAGGAGGGTAAGGACACCACTGGCTCGCTGGGTTCAAAGAGGACACGACACGATGGACTATAAAAGAGTCAAGTGCTACAGATATTCAAATGGATACAGACAGATAGTAGGACAGTCGTCTTAGAGCTTAGTTTATTACATAAATATGTGATAACTGTATTATCCATTGTGCTTTAAGTGACACATGTATAATTTATGCTTCTGCTGCCTGATGCTTAGTGGATAATAGTCAGTCACCCCCCCCCCCCACACACACACACACATAATTTTATGCACCTGCTTAAATGCACGCATATACACCTACACACCTATATCCACATATACACACACACATACACAAAGAAATACACGCGTCTATACCCACACCTATACCCACACATACAAACACCTATGCACCCACTTATACTCCTGTACCTATACACACACCGAACCTATACACACACCTATACACACAGATACACACACCTATACACACAAATACACACACCTATACACACCTATACACACGTACATATACACACGCACCGATACACTCGCCCACAGTCTCACGTTGATAAATACACTGTGCCCTACATGTATTCCCTGTTGCTTAAAATAACTTCAACAATTGTGCATGATAAAGAGCGTGGTAAAGACTAGTCACAATGTAATTTATTTAGAGGTAAAAGACAGCTAAAGATGTAGGTACAAAAATCGTTGTATGCTACGACAAGACGACTACGCGTACAATTTATAGACTTCTATACACCTAAAAACATTTTCAATTTTATTTTTATCTTTTATATTTTATCTTAATTTTATATGAAATAATAGAAAATAAAACCAATTTATTTTTATAATGTTTTTGTTAATTATTATATTTGTTACGTAATGTTCCTATCTTAGACCTAGCGAGCTATAGGGCTACTGAAGTATAGTTCACATTTTTATTTACCTCGGCATGTGAAGGGATGTTGAGGTAAGTACTGTCCAGATGCCTTTATTTTTCTCTAACGTGGGTCAGGTATCCATCAGAGCTGAGTGGACTCAGGGACAACCTACAATTACAAGTCGGAACCGAGATCCGAACTCGAGACTTTCGGTCTAGCTGTCAAGTGCCCTAATTACCTGACGTTGAATAGGGCACAAAATAGAGTTGAGCTTACTCTGGGACCATGGCGACCTTAAGTTCCAAATCAAAGTGGGGGGGGGGGGGGGGGGACAAAAGCTGCATCAAATGTAAAAAAAAAACGTGGTTGCTGAACCGAAAATTTCCGAGTTTGAACCCCCGATCAGATGAGGTTCGATAACTGGGGACAGCAACTCTTCTAGGAGGGACAACTAAAAAATCAAATAACTGTTGCCGTGTAGTTTGTTCTTAGTTGGACAAAGGCTATGGAAGCAAATCTAAAAAGAAAAACAGGCTGAAATCGGAGTCAACGGCCTATAAGACGCATAACCAGTTGACACGTAATACTTGTGTTGGAGGGAATATTCCATCATTAGAATTAAGAAAAAGAAGATTCACTACTACATCTATCAACTGCCGTTTTTTTCAATCCACTTACATTACTAAAAAGTAAAATAATGTGTAACTGGTATGTATTTTTAAGTGGGTTTAAATTTGTGGGGGTTTAAATATGTGGGGGTTTAAGTTCGTGTTGTCCTACCTTTGTGTCGGTGCAACTTTGTGTGGGTTTAGTATTAAGTAAGCGTAAATATGTGTCACGTCAGTCATTTGTTTTTCAATGTGTCACGTCAGTGATTTGTTTGTTTTTCAATGCGTCACGTCAGTGATTTGTTTGTTTTTCAATGTGTCACGTCAATGATTTGTTTGTTTTTTCAATGTGTCACGTCAGTCATTTGTTTGCTTTTCAACGTGTCACGTCATTTGTTTACTTTTCAATGTGTCACGTCATTTGTTTACTTTTCAATGTGTCACGTCATTTGTTTACTTTTCAATGTGTCACGTCATTTGTTTACTTTTTAATGTGTCACGTCATTTGTTTGCTTTTCAATGTGGTGTCACGTCAGTCATTTGTTTTTCAATGTGTCACGTCAGTCATTTGTGTGCAGTGGCGTAGCCAGGATCGTCTCAAGGGGGGGAGGGGTTCCAATTTTTACCCGGGGACAAACTTTCGATTTGCACCCCCCCCCCCTCAAACTTTCGATTTGCACCCCCCCCCCTCAAACTTTCGATTTGCACCCCCCCTCAAACTTTCGATTTGCACCCCTCTCAAACTTTCGATTTTATGACCCCCCCCCCCTAACCCCTCCCTGCCTACGCCACTGTTTGTGTGCCTTTTAATGTGCCAAGCCAGTATTTGTTTGCTTTTACGATGTGCGTTTTTTAGTTTTGACCTATCGACTATTAGGTTATGGTTCTATATACCAGTGTAGAAGTGTTTGAAAATATTCTCTTATTTGAGAGTACAACACGCCGTTCATGATGTGTACATACATGTACATGCACTGTAATTGGGGAGGGGGGTGAGATAGTGCAACAAAAATTACGCAATGAATCGTACATATATAAACATATTTATTATAATGTTTATAACTTATATTGGATATTTTTTTTTTTACAAAACACTGTATAGGATTATTTTATTTTACAATAAACTTTATTTGATCGATGTTTTACTATAAATTTTACGCGGCGACTGCGTCTTATGTTTAAAAATAAATGTTCAACGCAATATTTAGGAAATAAGCACCGAAATGCACCAAGGGGCGCATATATTATGGTTGTATGTTTAAAGCGAAATAAATCATAAAAAGCAAGTTAATAAATATTGAAATTTGAATTTTTAAACCGTTATTAGTAAAATATATTCAATAGTGCTGGAATAAAAAGAAACTTAATGTAATGATCAATTAAGATCTTTTTTGTTCCTTTCTTTTTTTTACTACTCAATTTTAAGTTACAGACAGATTTCCGGTTTAAGAAATAGTGCCATCCGCGTAAGACAAATTATTGGGAGAAATTGTTGAACAAATAAACCGTGGAACATTACATATTTTTAAGGAAACAAAGGAAAAAATACATCTCTAGGGTCAAGATGGTAATGTTCAGCTGACTAGATCAATTTAAACTTTTTCATAAATAATAAACTGACATTTGATATTGATGATTTGGTTAGTGGGATTGGGTGAGACTGAGAGTTTAGAATAGATTTGAGGTTAAATTACCTTTAAGCGTAATACTACCTTCATAAACATAAATGTAAAGGAAATGAAATCGCTAAGAAATAACAGTGAGGTAATGATTCAGGACTATAACGTCATTGTACTATGCTGCAGACTTGCAACCCATGATGGTCAGATTATATATGGCGGGTTGTTGTGAGGAGTGGATTTAAGTTTAGGTCGGGCTGGTTTAACTACAGGGTTAGCGTAGTGATTATATGGTTAGGAAAGTGGTTACATGGTCTGGGTAGTGGTTACATGTAGGTAATAATACTAATATGTAGGTTTAGCTAATGACTGATCTATCACCAGCGACACCCCAATGACCCCTACACAACACACCAGTGACCCTACACAACACACCAGTGACACTACACAACACACCAGTGACACTACACAACACACCAGTGACCCTACACAACACACGAGTTAACCCTACACAACATACGAGTTAACCCTATATAACACACCTGTGATCCATAAACTCTCCAAAATGTGCTCACATTCCTGTAACCCCTCCCTCCTCATCCGTCCACTCCCCACCCCCCTCGTAAGGTGCCGAGCCCTGGCCTGGTGACGCCCCAGACGCCTAGCATGTCTGCTGTGTTCTGGAACCTGGTGGCGCCGCTGACCCTCCTGTTGACCATCGAGAAGTTGGGTATCAGAACGTACGAGCTGGGCCTCATCATCGCTCTCTGCATCAACCCGCACATCATCGGCTACGTCGTTTACGTGCGTTTGTGTGCATACGTGTGGTTTATGCGCGTTTGTGTGCATACGTGTCATTTCTGTGCGTTTCTGTGCATACGTGTCATTTATGTGCGTTTATGTGCATACGTGTCATTTATGTGCGTTTGTGTGCATACGTGTCATTTATGTGCGTTTGTGTGCATACGTGTCATTTATGTGCGTTTGTGAGCATACGTGTCATTTATGTGCGTTTCTGTGCGTACGTGTCATTTATGTGCGTTTGTGTGCATACGTGTCATATATGTGCGTTTGTGTGCATACGTGTTATTTATGTGCGTTTTTGTGCATACGTGTCATTTATGTGCGTTTGTGTGCATACGTGTCATTTATGTGCGTTTGTGTGTATACATGTGTGCGGAAGTTAATGTCCGTTAAAGTGCACATTTGTGTGCGAGGCTTAATGCGCGTATGCATACACATGTGTGTGCAGTTTAATTTGCGTATGTGTGCGTAAGTTAATATGTGTATGTGTGCATATGTGTGTGTGCGAGGCTTAATGTGCGTATACTTGCACATGTGCGTATAGTTTAATTTGCACGTGTGATTAAGTTATTGTGCGTATGTGTGTACAAGTGTGCATAGGTTAAAGTGAGTGCGTATTTTCTTGTGTGAGCACAGATTAATGTGCGTATTTAAGCTCTTGAATGTTCGAAGGACAATGATCGTATGCGTGCACACGTATTTGCATTAGTGTAGGTGTTCACACGTTTATGTATGCGAATATAGATGTGCGTATGTGTTCACATGCACGTGTGACCGTGAGTACCACACGGTGTGTGTAGCTGCATATGAGTGGATGTGATTTAGTATAATATAAGTTCCTTTTTCTACGTGTATCTGCTACAGTCAATATACATGTGTAACGCTGTTAGTGTTGAATCCACCATCCCACCACTCCACCATTCCCAGTACCCGATACTAGCCTGGACGGACACCATCTTCCTTATGATGTGGGTCGAGAAGATGCTGCGACGCTGGGCGTGGTACCGGATGTTTGACGAGTCATTTCTGAAGACTCTTGTCGTCTTCACGTTCTTCTACGCCGTACCCATCCTCTTCATGATGTTGTAAGTTGATGATTTACCAGACCATGATGAAGTACGGTAATCAGAATGTCATTTCATGACTGATAGTGATAGTGGTGTTGTATTGTGACCATTAAATTCTGTCAGATAATGATCTCATAGAAATGAGTGACACAGTAAAAAGGTCAATGTTTAGTCCAACTCTTTTGGCGGGTGCACACTTATTGCATTATAGTTTCAGTGTCGGGGGGGGGGGGGGGGGTGGGGAGGGGGGGGGGACAGGCAATGTGCGACGTACCGTGTTTCTTTGTCACTCTGTCAATGCCTTTAGTTGACGTGTTTGGGCGGGTAAGCGCATGGTTGCTGACTCCTAAGTCGTGAGTAAAAAAACTCCGGGCAGATAAAGCTCATTAGCTTGGGACAGCAACCCATCAAAGAGAGAACTCTGAAACCAAACAGGATTGTAGCCCATTTGGGCGATAGGATTACCCGCTCTGGTTTCCTTACGACAGCTTCTGCGATATAGCTGATTCCAAGCTGTACAGGTAACGTCCTGTCCCTTGGGCAGTGGCGTAGCGAGGTCGGGTGTCACCCGGTGCGGCACTTAATGGTGTCACCTCTTCAGAGGCGTTGCGACCCTTCCCGGGGACAAACTTTCAAGTTTTCGATTTGCACCCCCACCCCTCAAACTTTCGATTTGCACCCCCCCCCCCAAGTTTTTCTCTATATATTTTGCTATTTTTTGCCTTGGTGTCACCCCCCTAAATGGTGTCACCCGGTGCGGTCCGCACCCCCCGCCCCCCCCCCCCCCCTCGCTACGCCCCTGCCCTTGGGTACATCAGGTGTGTGGAGAGAGGGAATCTGATACATCGGCAACATTTGGTTCTTCATATTTTGCTGCTATGTGCTTGGATTTTCAAAGCACAATAACCAAATGGCCATATTATTTTGAGCCATTTTATCAGTATTTGGCTGTCCATCTATGTCGATTCTATGATGTGTCATGTCTCTCTGTCAGTATTTGGCTGTAAGTCTATGATGTGTCATGTCACTCTATCAGTGTCTGACTTTTCATCTAAGTCGATTCTATGATGTGTCATGTCTCTCTGTCAGTGTCTGGCTGTTCATCTATGTCGATTATATGATGTGTCATGTCTCTCTGTCAGTATTTGGCTGTCCATCTATGTCGTTTCTATGATGTGTCATGTCTCTCTGTCAGTATTTGGCTGTCCATCTATGTCGTTTCTATGATGTGTCATGTCTCTCTGTCAGTATTTGGCTGTCCATCTATGTCGATTCTATGATGTGTCATGTCTCTCTGTCAGTATTTGGCTGTCCATCTATGTCGATTCTATGATGTGTCATATCTCTCTGTCAGTATTTGGCTGTTCATCTATGTCGATTTTATGATGTGTCATGTCTCTCTGTCAGTATTTGGCTGCCCATCTATGTCGATTCTATGATGTGTCATGTCTCTCTGTCAGTATTTGGCTGTCCATCTATGTCGATTCTATGATGTGTCATGTCTCTCTGTCAGTATTTGGCTGTCCATCTATGTCGATTCTATGATGTGTCATGTCTCTCTGTCAGTATTTGGCTGCCCATCTATGTCGATTCTATGATGTGTCATGTCTCTCTGTCAGTATTTGGCTGTTCATCTAAGTCGATTCTATGATGTGTCATGTCTCTCTGTCAGTATTTGGCTGTAAGTCTATGATGTGTCATGTCTCTCTGTCAGTGTCTGGGTGCCCATCTTTTACGCCTTGCCCAGTGTGATGGCCTATATCACAACCACTTTAAGCCATGGTCAGCTGTTTTCATTCCGGGACGTCTTGAAGCTGCTGCTAGCCTTAGGCTTGATGTCTCACTCCATCTACTTGTATAGGTACGTGCTCACCCACACACATAGGAAGTACTAGAATATATACGTAGGGGTACAAGACTACACACATAGGCGGTACTATGTCGCACTAACACCTACACGCAGCCTTCTCAGTCACACACACACACACACACACATATATATATATATATATATATATATATATATATATATATATATATATATACATCCGTAAAAGTTGTCAGGTCAGATAGTACTAAGTCACACGGATATATGGGCGGTACTAAGTGCAACATGCGAGGGCTGCAGGACATTACCTCCTCCCCGGACTTCCCCCCTCCACAGTATTTACCCCCGGAGCAATTACCCCCTGTCAATTACCACCCTGTAAAATACCCCCACCCCCCTCCTAACTCTAACTAGGATTCTATACCTATATACTACTTTAATCCTAACTTTAAGAAAAAGACCAAAACCTAAGCATTCACATCAGCCTAAAACTTAACACACAACCAAAACCAACGCTAGACATTGGTTTAAGCCTAACCCTAACCCTAGCCCTTATTCTAGCCATAGCCATAGCCCTAACTCTAACCCTAAACCTGTCCGGGGGGGGGGGGGAGAGGGGGTAATGTCCTACTGGGTGGTGGGTAATTGACAGGCGGGTTATTTCTCCGGGGGCAATGTCGTGTTCCCCATACAAGTATACGAGTCGTACTAGTTCTTACACACACACATATACACGTACACATGCACACGCATACATAAACACCCACTCACACGTAGACTTCTTTCTCCGAGCGAGGGTACTTGAAACTTTGGGGAAGGGGGGGGGGGAAGAGAGGGTGGAGGTGGAGGCGGGACACTGGTAAAAGTATATATTTAAATTCTATTTTGTTCGGGGGAAGGGCGGTAAATGTTTTTCGGGGTGGGCTCTGCCCCTCCCCCACGAGGAGATGCCTGGAAAAAACTCTGGAAGGCGGTACTACATTATTCACGTAGGTGGTAAAAATTCTCACACAAACGTAGCCGGTACTGTCATATTTGTAGTCGGTAATACACGTATATAATAGTAACATCTACCTATGTGTATTAGTCTAAGTGCTAAACGCTTTAAGCAAGCCTAAACGATTCGATTTTCATTGGCTGGTGAGTTAATACATGTGTTAACACTTAGAGAACAAGGTGTAAATAAAATGCGTGTTATCATGTAAGTTTAGTTAATCCAATGTTACAATGTTAACAGATAAACACAAAAGATGTTTCTTTCTGACATTTTTGTAGGGGGGATGCAAAAGCATTTAAAACTTTTAGGGGAATGGACTTCAATTTCCCGTTGAAGTATATATTGGTTATATAAATTCTATACCGACGGGAGGGGGGAGTGCTCCCCTTCCCATCTGCCTCAAGATATGCTTGAAAGAAACTTTTTTTTCACGCCTAGTACCTAGTAATTGAAAAGTTTTTCTTGTCTCTATTTCTATTCACAGAACAAAGCCATTCTTGTAGATATTCTCTGCATCCACTGTAGCCCAGAGAATAAAATATTCTGCAGTTTGAGATGGTTATCTAATCATTTCGCCGAAATTTCAAGAACCTAGAAACATATAAGACCCATTTCTTTGAGCTACCAGTGTCAGAGATGTATGCGCACCATCACAAGACCATTATAGAGAAAACGTGTCTTGTTTGGTTAGAGTTAGACTAGTTACTTTCATATACCCACAATATTTTAATTCTCTGGTTGAGAGATTATTGTGATTGGCAGGCTTGCAATTAACTCAAAATTAATGTATCGTAGTGAAATGAATGTGAAGAGAAAATGGTGCTAAAACAAGAGTAGATGACGAAGAGGCAGAAAATGAGAACTAAAGGTCTAGGCAGAGGCAATAAAAATGTGAATGTTTATTTGAATGTGGACAATGCCATCTCACGTCAAAAAAAACTGTGAATAAAACATGTGTATTTTGGATTGTTTTAATTTTTCAATGGTGCGAATGGTGGCGTGGTGAGTGAATGGGGTGTGGTGAATGAATGGGGTGTGGTGAGTGAATGGGGTGTGGTGAGTGAATGAAGGTGTGGTGAGTGAATGAAGGTGTGGTGAATGAATGGGGTGTGGTGAGTGAATGGGGTGTGGTGAGTGAATGAAGGTGTGGTGAGTGAATGAAGGTGTGGTGAGTGAATGAAGGTGTGGTGAGTGAATAAAGGTGTGGTGAGTGAATGGGGTGTGGTGAGTGAATGGGGTGTGGTGAGTGAATGGGGTGTGGTGAGTGAATGGGGTGTGGTGAGTGAATGGGATGTGGTGAGTGAATGGGGTGTGGTGAGTGAATGGGGTGTGGTGAGTGAATGGGGTGTGGTGAGTGAATGAAGGCGTGGTAAGTGAATGAAGGTGTGGTGAGTGAATGAAGGCGTGGTAAGTGAATGAAGGTGTGGTGAATGAATGGGGTGTGGTGAGTGAATGAAGGCGTGGTAAGTGAATGAAGGTGTGGTGAGTGAATGAAGGCGTGGTAAGTGAATGAAGGTGTGGTAAGTGAATGAAGGTGTGGTGAGTGAATGAAGGCGTGGTAAGTGAATGAAAGTGTGGTGAGTGAATGAAGGCGTGGTAAGTGAATGAAATTGTGGTGAGTGAATGGGGTGTGGTGAGTGAATGGGGTGTGGTGAGTGAATGAAGGCGTGGTAAGTGAATGAAGGTGTGGTGAGTGAATGGGGTGTAGTGAGTGAATGGGGTTTGGTGAGTGAATGGGGTGTTGTGAGTGAATGGGCCGTGGTGAGTGAATGGGGTGTGGTGAGTGAATGAAGGCGTGGTAAGTGAATGAAGGTGTGGTGAGTGAATGGGGTGTAGTGAGTGAATGGGGTTTGGTGAGTGAATGGGGTGTGGTGAGTGAATGGGGTGTGGTGAGTGAATGGGGTGTGGTGAGTGAATGAAGGCGTGGTTAGTGAATGGGGTGTGGTGAGTGAATGAAGGTGTGGTGAGTGAACGAAGGTGTGGTGAGTGAATGGGGTGTGGTGAGTGAATGGGGTGTTGTGAGTGAATGAAGGTGTGGTGAGTGAATGGGGTGTGGTGAGTGAATGGGGAGTGGTGAGTGAATGGGGTGTTGTGAGTGAATGAAGGTGTGATGAGTGAATGGGGTGTGGTGAGTGAATGAAGGTGTGGTGAGTGAATGGGGTGTGGTGAGTGAATGGGGTGTTGTGAGTGAATGAAGGTGTGGTGAGTGAATGGGGTGTGGAGAGTGAATGGGGTGTGGTGAGTGAATGGGGTGTGGTGAGTGAATGGGGTGTGGAGAGTGAATGGGGTGTGGTGAGTGAATGAAGGTGTGGTGAGTGAATGGGGTGTGGTGAGTGAATGGGGTGTGGTGAGTGAATGGGGTGTGGTGAGTGAATGGGGTGTGGTGAGTGAATGGGATGTGGTGAGTGAATGGGGTGTAGTGAGTGAATGGGGTGTGGTGAGTGAATGGGGTGTGGAGAGTGAATGGGGTGTGGTGAGTGAATGGGGTGTGGTGAGTGAATGGGGTGTGGTGAGTGAATGGGGTGTAGAGAGTGAATGGGGTGTGGTGAGTGAATGGGGTGTGGTGTGTGAATGGGGTGTGGTGTGTGAAGGGGTGTGGAGAGTGAATGGGGTGTGGAGAGTGAATGGGGTGAGGAGAGTGAACGGGGTGTGGTGAGTGAATGGGGTGTGGTGAGTGAATGGGAGGTTGTGAGTGAAAAAAAAAGAAGTGTGGGGGAGGGGGGTTAATGCTTGATAAAGCCGGACACATTGAGGACACACTAAAGACACCAGCGACACACTGTGAGGACACACATAAGGACATTGACACAGTGAGGACAGATTTGGGGACATTGCTTGACACAATGTGAGGACACACATATGGGCATTGACACACTGAGGACACTATTGGGGACATTGCTTTACACACTGTAGACTAAAATATTAATTACTCAAAAAATATTGAAAATTGTTCAACACTGATAAAACAGCCAGAATCATGTTTGTATTCTTACAACTTACTGACTATCATAATTTATTCAATACAACTGCACACGATTTTATCAAACCATATACCCCCCCCCCCCCCCCCCCTTTTCGAGAGTTCAACAAGTCAGATGCCTTTAATTTATCAATGCACACGAAATGAATTGTGCGATCCAGAAAGCGCACCAAATAAAACGACGCTTAATGAACACGATGACGTCGTACATCAACCCTGAACGATCGGAAAGTTGAAGGAAAACAAAGTAAGTTTGTGTTTGTTTTCATAATAGTTGGATGTAGATCTACAAACATTGTTGTGTTTATCAAAACGATAAACATATCAACATTACTGCACTGACTGAAAAATCCCCCCCCCCACTTGCTATCTAGATCTAGTTAGATATAGTCTAGGTCTAGTTCTAGATTATCTACTATTAGATCTAGATCTAGAATCTAGATCTCTAGATCTAGATCTAGAATCTAGATCTAGATCTAGAAAACTAGAAGTAAATCTAGATCTAGATCAAGTGAAGTAGAGTTCACGTCTTTCTGTGACCTCGGCATGTGAACAGATAAGGTTGTCAGCACTACGCCCAGCCGCCTTTACTTTCTTTTATGTAAGTTAGGTACCCTTCAGAGCTGGGTGGACACAGGGACGTTCTAATAACTTGAACCCGGATTCGAACTCGACACTTGCTTTTTGCTCTACCGCTAGGTGTCTGTATAACGTCTTTATACTATTCAATGTCCATATGCTAATCACAGTATTTATGCTATTTACAGGTTTTTTTTCCAATTTTAAGTCTTTATGCTATTCTCAGTCTTTTTGCTATTCCGTCATTTCCATCATCAGTCTTTATACTACACAGTCTTTTCACTATTCACAGTCTCTATCACTATTCAGTCTTTTCGCTATTCGCAAAAATTATGCCATTCATAGTCTTTAGGCCATTCACAGTATACAGTATACAGTATATATATATATATATATATATATATATATATATATATATATATATATATATAATTCACAGCAATATACTATTCACAGTCTTTATGCTGTTCATCGTTTTTATACCATTCAGTCAATTCTTTAGACTTGCTTCCATATACTAAGTAGCTCTCTTAATTAGTAGTAACAAGCAAACCATTTTGATTGTTAAATAATTTGTTACTTTTGTTTTTCTAAGCGAGATGGAAGGATCCTCCAAGACATCAAGGTCCACGACAGACCTTAGCGACGCCCCGGCAGCGGCACCTTCTGATGGTACCGAGGCTCACAAGGTTTTTGTCAATGATGGACAAACGACATTTGTTAGCGATAGCGCCGCAGCGGCCACGTATGATCGTATTATCAGAAATAGCTCAGCATCCCGGAAAAGGTACGGATGTGTGTGTCTGTCTGTCTGTCTGTGCGTCTGTCTGTGTGTCTGTCTGTCTGTGTGTCTGTCTGTGTGTGCGTCTGTCTGTGTTTCTGTCTGTGCGTCTGCCCGTGTGTCTGTCCGTGTGTCTGTCTGTATTCCCTAGCTTCTGGGTCAAGTGCTGTGATAGCCACGCTGTCGGTTCCATGGCCTTTCTAATTTATCGCTAAAGTAAATCAAAACAACATTACAGAAGGTCAAGCGTTCTCTTCGCTTAAAAATATTTGGTGCTCTAGGGAAATAAGCCTAACTAATGAGAGAAGATAATGGTTTTTGGTCTTAGAAAAATCTGATAGGGAAATAAGCCTAGCTAATGAGAGTAGATAATGGTTTTTGGTCTTAGAAAAATCTGAAAGGGAGCGATTTAAAAATGGCGACTTGGACAAGAGTTTTTTTTTTTTTTTTTTTTTTTACAACTGGCTGCTTACGGCTACAAGAAAATGTAAACTTGTTCATCAACATTTTCGAAAGGGTAATCAAATTGGAGCAAGGACTTTGGCATAGGAGACAAGAATTTGGTAGGCATATACGTTCATGCAACAGTCAACAAGTATTAGACAAGGTATGCCATAGGACCCACAGACAAAGCTGGAGAACCAAAAGCAAATGGTGTAGGGGGATTGAAAAAAAGACGGGATGTTATTGGAACGAGTTGCAAACAAATGGAGAAATAAAGCAAAGGACATACAAGCATGGAAGTATGTTTAAAATGGTCTTTGCTCCGTTAGGAGTTGATAAAGGCAAAAAAGAAGAAGATTTTTGGTAGTTCCATCTTCACTGAGCCCATTCAGCTTTAAAACGTACTTTAATAAAGTGAAGGGTACAGGGCATAGTGGTGACCTTACTTTCATAAACCCAGGTAAACAAGACACGGTTAAACTTTACTAGTCTGGAACTAAAGTGTACTTTGACGTTTAAATCACTTCACATAATCACTGTTAAAAAACATTACTAGCAATCACTGGTGCTGTACTTTAATTGGATAATAGGGTTACGTTTATTTTAACAATAGTATGTACAAAATCTTTCGTCACCTTTGGTTTATAACGAATTATACTGTGCCCGATATAATTGCAGCATCTTGCTTGCTGTTAACAATCGATAGTTTCTGCTCATTTCTTCACTTCAAGTGTATCGTTTTTGTGAAACTGACGTAACATATAATTTAAAATGCCATGTTCTGTTTAAAAAAAAACACTGTAAATAAAATAAATATTATATTGTCTCTACTCTTTTCATAATATTTAGATTTGATCGTAGAATTTCAAAAGATTCGTCGTTCTTTTATATTTTGTTTTCTTGATTAAAAAAAAATCCAACAACAGTAACTCTGTTTCTGACTGCGTTGAAATGTTTCAATATGAGTTACATGTTCTCTTTTTACTTGAAAGGTAATTATCAACAGAGTATCGAATTATGTTTACGTTTTCTTGACTAATCCACTAGGTCCCTAGATGAAACGAAACAAAAAACTGGACCGAAGAAAATGAGACTAGAGTCTTATGAAGGTCCCACTCTACGTGCCAGACC